TCATCTGCATCTCTGTAACTGTCTGGTTTGGTTCTGCAACCCAACAGGACAGACACAGACTTCAGAGGATAATTAGGACTGCAGAAAAAACAATTACTACCCACCTGCCTTCAATTGAGGACCTGTATACTGCACGAGTCAAAAAGAGGGCTGTGAAAATATTTACAGATCCTTCACATCCCGGACATAAACTGTTTCAACTCCTTCCCTCAAAACGACACTATAGAGCACTGCACACAGAACAACTAGACACAAGAACAGTTTTTCCCCGAAAGCCATCACTCTGCTAAACAAACAATTCCCTCAACACTGTCCAACTATTTATAAACTCTGCACTATTATTACTATTAATCTTCTCATCACTCCTTATCACCCATCCCTTCCCACTTGTGACTGTATGACTGTAACTTTGCCGCTTGTATCCTCACGATTTATATTGACTGTTTCCTAGTATGATTTGATTGCTTATTGCACCCTAGGACTATAATTAAGTGTTGTACCTTATGATTCTTGACGAATGTATCTTTTCTTTTATGTATATTGAGAGCATATACACCAAGACAAATTCCTTGTTTGTCCAATCACACTTGGCCAATAAATAATTCTATTCTATGCGAAACAAACCTGTGTTACTTTAAATCAGAGATGCACCCCCCTCCTAATCAGTCCCACGAATGGTAGTACACAGGCTTCCCCAGAATGTAAAAAGCATTGTTCCTGTGATTTGTGTACTGATACCCAACATCTGGACACAAATATGAAAAGTCAGACTTGGTGTGTGTCATTGAGGTGCGTATTTTGGATTTTTCATCATCTTTCATCATTGTGATTTATAATGAATGCCTACAGGTGGGGTGAGTCAAATCAAAGGAGTATTCCTGAAAAGCTGCTGTTCAGGAAAGAGTTGCCTGGGGAAGTAACAGCTAGCTACTTGTCAACTTGCCCCATCCAGAAGATATAGTACTACCTTCGGCTGTTTCTTGAACAATCTCCTTTATTGCCCAAAGCCACATTATTTGCTTAGTTACTTTCAATGCTGCAAATCACTTTGAATTTCAAAACTGAATTGACATTGTGAGACCTAGGGTAAATAACGGGTGTGCTGCAAAATGTTGTGATGTCTTTGATCCAATAAACTACACAAGAAGAATTGCTGACTAAGTATGAACAGGATTAGGCTAAAGAGCCAAGGCTCTGGTTTGGGAATGTTTATAAGCTTAGTTCGCACATGCACAGACCCAGCCCAGGCTACAACGTCGCTTATGATTCCAGCTAACCATTCCATGTTTTAATGCAGGTTTTTCAAATCGTATTCCCAAGAACTTGATAGGGTTCTGTGAAAGACCAAGTGGGGAAAACAACCTGTTTTACTAGAACTTTGCTAGAGGGGTTCAGGGAAAGTTTTTTTAATGACAGGTTCTGTGACCTGAAAAAGTTTGAAAACCCTGTTTTGATGTATTAGTTTAAAAGGCCAACTTTACAATTAATTAGACATTTTTTAAATTCGTTGCCTTCTCACCAGCAGGTAGCAAAAATGCTGCCCATTTCACTATTCCACTTACAGATTAGTTCCAGTTTCATTTGGCCATTTCCTTTTTACTTTTCAAATATACGGTGTTTGTTGCCCTGGCATCAAATACAAAAACACATTTGTTTGGTTTTCCCAATTTTTTATTATTGAAAAAAAGTGATCTTTGCTGCTACAAACAGCCATGTTGCCAACATTTTATACAAGAATAAATCCATGATGGTTTACTATAACACTGGTTCAACTGTTATAAATGAATCTGTGAACTTGCAAATTTAATAACTGAGGTCTGAAATTAAGATTATATATCCAAATATTCAGTTCAGTTTCAAAGTGAAAGTGAATATTCTTTGGATTTGAAGAAATTCAAGGACTGTGGTTCTATATGAATTACAAGCAAGTTAAAAAAATTTTTAAATATACAGGTGTTTAAAAATACATTGACCATCACTTAATTGACTCTCCTGATTTTTCCTCTTAATATTTTTTCAGTATTTGATAACAAATAGAGGTGTGTAAAATGTTCAATGCTTTGAAGCCAAAACTTTCTAACTAAAAATAGTCTCTTTGAATATTGGCACAGTCTCTGAAAGGTTGACCTCAACTTGTTTTACAGACCTCTGATAACCATTATTAAAAACCTGTCCAGCACAGTTATTCTAATATAATTTTATGAATAGCAACACTAATTAGATCCAAAACATTCTCAATGTTATACAGCCCCAAACTAATTATTCTTGAAGATATGGGTAGTTCCTTAAGATAAATAGTCCTCAACTTAGTTGTAAGTTGTAATTTGTTTAATGACCGTTCAAAGTTACAGTGGCACTGAAAAAGTGACGTACAACTGGTCTTCACATGTGCTGTACAACCATGGCAACTTTCACACAGTTATGTGATCAAAATTTGGGCACTAGGAGCTGGTGTCAACTGGTGACAGTTGTAGTTTCCTGGAATTTTGGAATCACCATTTGCATTCTTCCCAGCCAGCTTCCGACAAGCAAAATCAATGGAAGAAGCTTGATTGGCTAAATGACTGCATGTTTCACTTATCGACTGCAGTGATTCACTTAAGAGCCATGGTAAACAGGTCATAAAATTGGGCGCTTAATAACTGCCTTGCTTAGCAACAGAAATTCTGGTCTCAATTTTAGTCGTAAGTTAAGGACTACCTGTATAACTCTCATGATCACCAAGAATCATGAAAGACTAAGTGGGGAAAGGCTGCTAACATAGGGAATGCAAATAAGTTTGTATTGTACAATAAAGCACCTTAAAAAAAGGAACATTTAGCAAAAATAAAATAAAAATCTTTAAAGGAATAGTTAAAAAATGAAGAGAATGATAAAGATTTTTTTTCTCCTTGCAATCAACTGTCAGACATCAAGCCTGAGCCATCCTTGATTTAAGATCAGGCCTTCACAAAGAACAGATGAGCAAGGAGAGAAACCAACTTATTCATTTTCTTCTCTATATAGTTATCAAAATACCTATAAAATCTATTTATAGTGATAAGATAAATAGAAAAGTCTTAGCTTTTTTTTTCTTTTTTGGTTAAGAAATCCAGGGATCAAAAATAGAATAAACAAAGTGATTACCCCAAAGTGCCCACGAGTGTTTTCTTTCCACAGTGCTTCCAAAATAAATCTCATTGAGCTCAGTGGAACTTATTCTTGGTTCTGATGCAAGTTGGCAGCATTAAATAACTTTCCACAGAGAAAGTTCTTTTCCAAGAACACCATTAGTTGTTTTCAATAATGTGTTTGCCTTTTGCCTGAACAAACTACAGCAAATCAGGATCAAATTAAAGTCAGAGGGTGAGACAGGAAATGTGCAGAAGCTTCCAAGAATATAAAACCTTACACAGCCTTTGTAAGTACACGATGTGACAAAATGGCATGATGTGATGTGACAAAATGGCATACAAACATGCGACCAAGTCTCTGCATTCTGTTTTGAAGTAGGGTGAAAGATATCTTCTAGTAAGGTATCTCTGAAACAGGGGTGTCCAACCTTGGCAACTTTAAGACTTGGGGATTTTAACTCCCAGAATTCCTCACCCAGCATGTCTAGCTGGGAAATTCTGGGAGTTGAAATCCATAGGTCTTAGAATTGCCAAAGTTGGACACTCTTGCTCTTAAGTTTACACAACCCTCATCAACATCCAACAGAAGTAAATGTCCATTTTCTCTGAAGTCCCCAAATTCCAGATTTAGTCAGAAATATCAACCTATAATGAATCTTGGGTAGGGAAACAAGAGAATAACTCTGATTTTGGTCTATTAATGTTGTTTTGTGTACACAGAAATATAAAAAAAAAAAACCCTGCCACCATTTGGCTCAGTTTAGTCTGGTACTAGTAAAATCCCCACTATCCATTAGGCTGAAGTGTGCTCGGCTTGTTTGTGGCTTAGTGTGCATGTGTTCTACAAACCAAGATTCAGTTAACTGTGGATAAATGTAACAACTAACAGCACTCAATGGCCCCCAGTATTTCAGGCAGCAGCTTTTCCAGTCTTATCTGGAGAATGCTGGGAATTGAATTGAAACCTCTTGACTTTTGTTCATGGGACTAACCCATGATCTGTCTCATAATGTAAGCCAATTTCATACATTCAAGCAGGAGAAAGAATCAGGGAAATTAAAGTGTTTTTTAATTGTTTTTCAAATATTGAGGGTGTGGTGATTACTGCAAAAAGGAAGCAGAATTTCCTGCAGTAAAACTAGTGGTGGGATTCAGCCAGTTTGCACCACTTCGGGAGAACTGGTTGTTAACTTTCTGAGCAGTTTGGTGAACTGGTTGTTGGAAGAAATCATTAGGGTAGAGAACCTGTTGTTAAATTATTTGAATCCTACTACTGAGTAAAACCATCCCATAAAAATTACTAAATGTCTGCTCAATTCCATTGCCTTAACTCTGGATAAAACCCAAGGTCTTGCAAAGATGGTTTGAGTGCTTGGCAATCAGCATAAATATTTGGCATTCTTTCTGAATGCATCTAAAACATCTTAAGATTTCAGGAATGCTTCTTCACAGAAAAGAAGCACAAACCTTGCCTGTAAACAACCCCCCTCCCCCAATTTTCAAACATTATCACTAAATGGCAATTTAGGGGGAAATTCTTAATACATGATTCCCTAAGCTCTTTTAAATTAAATGCAATAAATGTGGCTTTCCCCAAGCACCTATATTCAATGGTAATTACATTGAAATATAAATGAAATGTGGTTTTTATCCTAGTTTCACTCTCCTTTTAGGAATGCAACTCCCAATGTTCCATTCAAAGGCCAGGTGTGAACCTTCTCCAGGAAAAAAAGCTACCCTCTTTGGATTTACAGAATTAATGTGAACATGCTCCCCTTTGTTTCTTTCACATTAAAGCATGACAGCAGCCCTGTGTTCTAAAATTACGCTCCCTCTAATTTGCAGTAGTATAAAATTAGTTACTGCTTTGGCTGCTGCCAAAGGATCCTAAAAGGGTCTAGTTTGATGTGGAAATGATGGCATCTCATTCAGGAATCAACTCACCAAGTTTTAACTACACCAAAGGAGTCAAAAATGCAACCTGCTGGTATCTCATTGCAGTCTCATAATCTGTCTCCATCTTTTGCACTATATTGTCTTCAAAACTCCGTCTCTTGTAGCCTGTCTAGATTCAGAATAACCCCACCATTTACCACTAAGAAAGATATCCAGGCAGCGTCCTTCACATTAATCAGGAAATTTCAGACTTCATATTTCCAAGGAACACTTACTGGTTTGGAGAGTTTTCATTTACATACAACATTTGCTTTTCAATACTGTGTTAATCCTGAGCTCCAAAAACACAAGAAGAAGAACTGTAACAATTGTGTTGGATCGAGAGGAGAGCACTTGTTTGCTGCTTCTGGGTGTTAGGGGCTACAGGTAGGACTTGGCTTTCTGAAGCCCTTCCTTCAAGAACTGGAGATAAGTTGCTGTTGAGGGGTCTTCAAAACTGGAGGAGAAACTAAAGATGCTGCTCTCAACTTCTTCAGGCTTCATAGAAGTAATATCCAGAAAATAATTGGCATTGATGTGGTGAACCTGCAAAACAAAACAAGGAAACCGGGTTCCAAACTCCACAGAATGTTTCTTGTTTTCCCCAGGAGCCACTGAAGGTGGAGGGGGGCCCAGGGCTTCCTTGCCTGCATCTCTTGGATCAAAAAAGGGCGATTGTCCCATAGATGTCTCTGGTGCAGATAGATAGAAAGATAGATGGATGGATGGATGGATGGATGGATGGATGGAAAGATAGATAGATAGATAGATAGATAGATAGATAGATAGATGATAGATAGATAGATAGATACTATTTACATATACATGCATACACTGCAAACTCCCATGCATCTTTTTTTGTAGCTATGAATACCTAGAGTCATAACAGTAAATAGTAATTCATATTTAATTTGTAAGGTTTCTTTGAATATTTGTGATAAACCCTCCCTGCTTCAAGTTGAAGTTTTGGGAGTATTTCAGCTAATTTCTTCACTTTAATCCATTCCGGTGCTTTAGTGGCTCTGAGTAGGTGTGTGCCATGTCTCTGCCCAAGATGTAGCTATTTTCAAGCAAGTAACTTTTACCATCCTACAGATGCTTGGCAAATACTGATTTCTGAGTCTTTGGGACAAAAAGAACAACCAGTAGAAAATAGTCCCAAAGGTGCTTTTTCAAGAGGAAACTGTACTGGGTTTTTTGGGGGGGTTTTTTTGGAAGACAATTCGCTTCTCATCCAAGAAGTTTCTTCAGCTCTAGTGATGAGAAACATCTTCAAAGAAAAAACCAGAAAATCCAGTTGCCTCTTGAAAAGACACCTTTGAGACAACCATGACCTGAATGAGTGAGAATCTCCATAGTCATTAGAAAATACTTTTCTGTTCTTTTAGGTGCTGCAAGGACACCACATTGCTCCATATAATTTGATTTTAGTTCTGTGATACAGAATTGTCCATGAGATGTTCAGTTCTTATTGTAGGTAAGTCAAAGTGATTCCAAAAGATTCCATGGATTAGAAAAATACAAGATGTCTATCTTGTAGAGGGTTGAAAAGATCCAAGAGAGTAAGAATCTTACCACAGTGCCATTGGGCAGGCAGATCATAATCTCCACAGGGAAGTTATATTTTTCAAGATGTAGGTCTGCAAGTTTGCTGATGATCTCGTCCTGTTTATTCTGTGAAAAAGACATTTGCATTTAACATTTCTTGTGTAAGATGCTGTTCGCTGCTGTTCAAATAGAAACAAATCTTGTTTAAAATGAGATCAAAGTCTATGCTTGCATCAAGATCTAAAAACCATAAAAGATTATAGTATTTAGTATTTATATATATATTTAGTACGATGTAGTATTTCCTAATAGTTTGCTTCTTGTTTTATTCTGGTGTATTGGATTGTCTTCCAGATGTTGTTCAACTCTATATTCTGTGGCTTGAGAAGCTGGAAGCTGTGATTCACCAACATTTGCATGACCACTGTTTCATAACCTTTGTTGTGAGGTGTTGAGTAAAGAATGAGTAAGAGCAGAAGGACAGAAGGATTTGCTTTTGAAAGATAAAAACCTTCACTGATTTCTGATAAGTCTGAATGCAACTCAAAGTGCACATATAAAGCCCTCTACGAGTTGGCACTTATAGGCCCAGCCAACTTGTCTTGAGAGAAGCCATTGGTAGTGCTCCACTTCTGTAAAGTAAGGGGGGGGGGGGGGGGGCAGGGCTGAGGCTCAGAGTCACTTCTCAATATTAGCAGCCATTTTTGTGAACAGCTTTCCCACAGAGATCATAGTTGTCCCTTATCCCTAATCTCAGGGAAAAACTGAGACCTTCTGGAGGCCACTTGATGAACGGAGATGGAACCACGCATGTTTGATTCTGGATTATGATTAGTTATTTATCTTTCACTTTTAATCAGTAATTTAATTGCTATTCACAAATTTAGATCAGTAAGGATGCTTTAATTTAATATATATTCATATTAATAGGCACCAGGAGTTTAATAGATTAGGGCACTTACAAGTTTACTAAACAAAGAGGACACACTCCTGGGGCTTAGGGACCCCATTCTGGGGTTTGCTGCAATGGAGGGGCAGCTTATCAGATAGTCATAAGGGTTATGAAATACTTTTAAGAATCAGAGGCAATGTGTTGAGAAGCAGAAGAAGGATGGTACTTCTGCTTTTGTTGTCTTGCTTATAAAGCTTCCCAGATCTATTCAAAGAAGAACTGACCACCATAAGAGTAGAAGAGTCAACAGAACATGATCTAATAGAGCCAAGATTGATAAGACTAATTGCAAGACTAATTAATCAAACTACTACTAAAGGAGGGTCACCTTATGTGATCTCTTCCCTGTCTTCTCAAGCTTCCTATTCCACTTTGTCTTCCTCTTGAATTTCAGGAGCAGCTTACCTGTAAATCTTCCAGCTCCTTCACCAACGACCAGGTACTGATGAAACTCTCATTCAGGAATGCAAGGATGGGCGAACTTTCCAGGACTGTTTCCCGGAGAGTTCGCCCTGAACCTGCCCAAAGAGGAACAACAAAAGAAGTTAGTGAAATATTTGGATGAAACATAGGACCACTTAGGAGCAGATCTCTGAATCTTTAGGTAAAGGAATAATATTCATATCTCGTTTATCACTTTCACCTCGGGGGATATCTGTTATGTTGGTCCTGCTGCAAATATTGGGTTGGGTAATGAATATAGGAGTGAGTGGGCACTGTCAAAAGGGCTCCTAGGCAAGGTTCTTGATATGTCTGGTAGGGAGATGGAACTCAATTTTCCTTAATGCAAGTTACTCTGAATTGGCTTAGTAGGGCAGTTTGGAGTAAAGTCTTGGCACACAGGTTGATGTTCCACTGACTTCCAAGAGAAGCAGAAAGGAAGCATTAGAAGCAATGAGAGATAATATGCAAATGGAGTTAAAACATCCTACTGTACCAAAATGCCATTTGTTTTATAATGGCTTGAATGTATGCCCTTCTATTTTGCATTTCCTCTTCCTATCTCCGTTTGCAACTTTTACCTTCCTGTCTGGTCTCAATTTACTTTTTAGGTTCTTCAGAGAATGGCTTCCTTTTGCTCCATATAAAACTAAAGTCTAGATCAGAATTTTTCAATCTTGGTAGCTTGGAGATGTGTGGATTTCACTCTAAGAATTCTGGGAGTTGAAGTCCACACATCTTCAAGCTCCCAAGGTTGAGAAATATTGGCTTGTAGCCATATATATCTTATTGAGATTTTTATATAAAATCAACCTAGCACAAGATCCTTAACAAATGAAGCACCTTTATAGAGGCTTTGCAAAATTAGGGTTTCATGAGCTATGGAGTTAAAAAGTCAGGGTATTAAAACAACAAGCATATATTATGTTTACCTCGCATGCTAATTTGCTAATATTCTCAGTAAGCATCCTCTAATACAGGGGTCCCCAAACGTGGTAACTTTAAGACTTGTGGACTTCAACTCCCAGAATTCCTCAACTCCTGAGGAATTCTGGGAGTTGAAGTCCACAAGTCTTAAAGTTGCCAAGTTTGGAGACCCCTGCTCTAACATTTTTATCTTAGGATGGAGGGAAAAAAAACCCTTAGACTTCCTGACAAACTCCTTTAAAAAAAACACCCCAGTGTCAAATTTAGCCCTTACCTCAGCATGACTGATCATCTAAGGCTCCCCATAAGAGTATGGAATGAACAAGTTTACCCTCAGACTTGGCCTTTTCAAAAGCCTGGGTAAAGGGAAAGTAGGAAACCTGAAAAACAAAATGAGCTGAGTGTACCCTTCATGTCTGGCTCATGTCTTGTTAATGAATGCTAACGAATGCATGTATCAAAAAATGTACTGTGTATTTATTTAATATATCTGAGTTTTGGCTAAAAGAGCTGCTTGTTTTGTTAGTAGGTTAATTCACTTTCACTACTGGTATATCGCCTGCATAGTTGTATTACTTTGATTCCTTAGAGCATGGACATAATTATTTAATCATGTTTGAGAGAACGTCAAGCTCTTTACATACTTTCTTAAATGGATACATGACCACTTCCAGCTTCCCAGATGCTTCTTCCCAGCTTATTTCTCTCTGCCAGGAAATGTCTTCAAAAATAAATTGAATTGGTTCTCCTTCTCTGCTGTCAATCACGTTCCCATTTTCATCATGAATCACTGAAGGGGTAGATGGTCCCAGAGACTCCAGCTCCATCTGCGAAGCAACAGGGACGTAAGATCTTTTGGGAATACCGAAGTGGTATGTGATTGCCTTATGATGTCATCTATTTCACAAACCCAGAACAGGGGCTGTTTCAATAGCTACATTAAACATAACAGTAAATGCAATCACTGTGGAACAGCTGGAAAAGAACTCTCCAATTTCTTAGCCAGCATTTTATGGAAAGATGGTCGAGACTAGATTGGAAAAGACGGAATGTTCTTGTTGTTAGAACAAGAAAGTCTATGCGTGTACACAGAGAATTAGTCCACACTGGCTACAGACCTGAGGTAAGTATCCTATATCCACCTCCATGTTGCTGCTCTCTAAGGCACCATATAACCATTCCATATCTACATTGAGAGACCTGATGGGGGGAAAAATCACCGTCATTAGAAATGGGAAAACTGTATTCAACAATGCCAGAAATTTTCATTCATATCAAGCAGGGCACCCATGAGAAAGGGAAGAGAAAGAGAAAGGTCAGTGTCAAAGCACGTGCTCTATAGCAGGGTTTCTCCATTTTAAGATGGGTGGACTTATTTCCCAGAATTCCCTGCCCAGCATGGGAATCCTGGGAGTTGAAGTCCATACATCTTAAAATTGTCAAGGCTGAGAAACTCTGCTCTAAAACCCGATAGTTGCCTGACTGAGTAGCTGAAATCATGCCACAAGCTACAATTTGGTTTATCCGATTTTGGCTTAGCACATGATATACATTCAGTCACTGTATCTTTTTAAAGAAACCAGGATGACATAAACTATAGGTTGATCAAGGTAGTGAACTCTATCCAGAGAAGAAAACAGAGCCTTCCGGTTCAGTTGGGAAATGATAATCATTTTGGCTTTAAACTTGCTAAGAACTAAAATTAAAGCAGACCTGTTTCTCCATCTGAAAATGAATCATACCGAAATGATTATTGTAAACTGTTTTCAGGCAGAAGCATGTGAAATTGTTAATGATGTATTGAGCGTGCATGCTTTGAATCTGACGCTAACTTCATGCTGTTTCTTGATCATTGGTACTGGAAACTGGAGAAACCTACCTGTTATTAGGGACAAATAGCTTGAACTCTCGAACATGGGAAGAATCCTTTGAGAAGACAATGTAGCCCGTGAATTGGGCAGGAGAAAACCAGAATGGGAAATCTGGAGGCTCATTCAGTTGGAATTCTGCATGGATTCTGAAATCAAAAAGAGCAATCAGCCATTCTGTCCTAATGAAGCCAAGCACTTCGTTTTCACAAAAATTATCCTCCCTCTTCTGCACCAAATAAAGATGACGGGATTCACACATCATAGTAAGCCATAAGAATTCTGGGTTATTGTAAAGGAGCAAGAATAAAGTGGCTAAACAGTGGAACTTCTTCACATGATTCATTTACTGAGACATCTATCTATATTGGCTTAGACAGCTGCAGAAGCTTCCAGTTTACCTCTATGGTTAAATTCCCAGCACTGCCATTAATACTGAATAATTGACAGGGTGGAATATTCTGCCTCTCATACATACAATAATGATGGTGCTTCTTGCCTTCAAAACATAAAAGAAGTCTTTGGCTATCAGAAGGTGTTTTTTTAAAAGCTCGTACTCTGCAGTATTTAAAAATGATTGTGTGTGATTATTTTAATTTAATTTAATTTAATTATTTTAAATGGAGTTGCTAGGATCTGTGGGGACCCAAAATTGAATGAAAACAGTTCTATATAAAGCACGTAATTGTAACTCTGAGTTTTCTTTCTGTTTTTAACAGCATATTAACTATTAAGCAGAATTCTATATTCTCATCGATGAAACATCAGCTCTCTTGTTAGGCATTTTCTGAGTTAATAAACTGCACTGTCAATTTCTCATCGGTCACTTAGCTTGATCTACCGTTAGGAAAAGATTTATAAGTGCAAATCCATTCAGATCCAGGAGTTATAGAAGATCACAGAAATTCCTGAGGAATGTGTGACAAAACCAGTCACATACCCACAATTGCAAAAAATGACACACATACATTTCAAGCTCTTCTTGCTTAGGTATAGTAGATCTAAATCAGGGATCTTCAACCTTGGCAATGCTTTGCTGGCTGAGGAATTCTGGGAGTTGAAGTCCACAAGTCTTAAAGTTGCCAAGGTTGGAGACCCCTGATCTCAATGACTGAACGATGGAAGTGGGAAACTAAATGGTTGCTCAGTACTGTTAAGCTGTACAGTGACTGGCCTTCTCCTGAGTCCTGGCTGGAATTTTTGACAGAACTTTTGGAGATGCCAAGGAATGAATCAGAGCCTATTTACATGCAAAGCAGGTTGGCTAGATGCTCAGCTGAGAAGGTAATCCTCAGGTGATCAATTTCACCGGCACATGAAACACACCCTCCCCATCACATGGGAACTGCTTGTCTGCACCAATAAGTAACACATGATTCCAATAAGCAACGTTAGTGCAGGACTGTGGAGTTTGGAACAACCAGTGAGCAAGGACGATTGTTCTCAATCTGACAACCCAGCAACAGAAGGCTTTTAAATACATGGTCTTTAAATGGCACTGAGGGAGGAATATCACATCCCAACAATTCAATCTGTTCGGGGACAAAGAAAGCTAAATTTAACTTTGAATTAAAAGTTAACCCATTGGACCATCTTTATTTATAATTACATTTTAGAGCCTTCAATACTGAAGCCCCTTAGCAATTTAAATAGAACATAAACACCAAACAGATCACAAACTTTAAAAACTTGTATCTACCTACAATGAAAAACAATTGCAATATGTTTTAAGGCCTTTTTAAAATTCCAGCAAGATCGTCAGTTCTCAGTTTGACAGGAAAAGCATTCTAGAGAACATAGATGGCCAACAATTCAGATTGCCATAACTCTGGAAAGGGGCCAGTTCATGAATCAAGGCCACAGAGTCACATACCTAATGTGCATCCCTCAGTGTCTTTCCTTCAGGTAGTTCTAAGCAACAGGATGAAATGGTCCCATTTCACGGTTGCACCCAACATGCTTCCAGCTCAGATCTACCCATACATACATGGACTATTCCTCCCATGCCCCACACTGAATGCGACCTTTCTTCTCTTGGGGGAACTATATCTGAAGTGTGGGTGGGATGGGTGGCTAAGCAGTTGAAGAAGCTGAGCTTATCAGCAGGAAAGCTGACAGCACAAGTTCCAGACCCCGAGTGCAGCACTCCCGTTCCTTGCCCCAGCTCCTGCTCGCCTAGCACTTCGAAAGCAGGCAAATGCAAGTAGATAAATAGGTACCACTTTGGTGGGAAGGTAACCAAGTTCTGTGCACTTTGGTGTATGGTCATGCTGGCTGCATGACCACATAAGTCTTTGGAATGCTGGCTCCCTCGGTTAAGAAATGGAGATGAGCAACATCCCCTCTAATTGGTCATGACTAGTCAGGGGATACCTTTTACCTTTACTTTACCTGAAGGCTATTTTGTAGTAGAACTCTGCTACAGCTTGAATGCAGGCCACTGCTCCCTGAGGAGCAAAACGAGTTTTCACAAATGGCCGTGGGTGGAACATACTCAAGAGCTTGTGAATGATGACCTAAAGGAAAATATATAAGGAGGTATGACCTGAAAAGAAATGATAGCCCCTGAAACGATAAGCCAAGAATTACAGAATCTCAGGACTAGAAAGCACCTCTACTGTCTGCATTCTGAAATAATTATCTTGAAATCCTTGGTCTAAGTTGCCTGTCAGGTTCTTGAAAAGAGCTATTAAATCTCCCCTCACATTGTCTCTCTATGACAGGAAACATACCCCAGCTGCCTCTCCTCACCAGAGAAAAATGTCCTTCTGAAATAGGTATCTTAGTTCTTCGCTTTCCCTCCCGTTTCTCTGCTCCTTTCAATAATTTATAGCTCTTGTCATTACTGAATATTTGTTATAGTAATCACAGCTGTTTTGGTCTTTAATACACATTATCCAATATTCCAATGGGCAGCTGCCAAGGACTGGAAATTGATCTGCCCATTTGCACTGCATTTCTACTTTGTGCTCTATCGATCTGCAGTATTTCTTTCTGTGATTCAGAAAGTACTGCACTAAAATATCATTGCTTTCTCTCCCCCTTACCCCACTTTCCAAAGTCGTCTTCTCAAGTCAGTTTTGCAGGGACTGGATTTAATTAATCATCTTATATCCCAGTGTTTTTCAATCTCTGTGATTTTAAGACCTGTGGACTTCAAAACCCCTGAATTCCCCAGCCAGAAGGCTTTTTTCCCCCTATTTTCTATTCCCCAGCATGCTAGTTGCAGAAGTCTAGAGAGCCGAAATCCAAACGAATTGAAGTTTCTAAGACTAAGAAATTTCAAAATTGTTCTATACATAGAGTTCAGAAATTAAAGGCATTTAACTCCACTTCCCAATAAACAAAATTAAAGGTGCAGAATTACCCTTTTAATAAGAACCAACAACCTGACCATTGAATCAAATTCAAGATAGTTCCACTCAACAATTGCAAAAATTATTTTTTCTTCCTCATTAGGAAGCGCAATGCTTACCTCCTTGCCCTTGGGAGCTGGAGGGGAGAAACGATTATTGGGAAGATATCCGGTAAATATGTTTAATTCACTGGGAATGATCCACCATGGATCACCAAGTTCCAACTTATTCTTTGGGGGAAGAAAGGCCTTGAATTGTCTAGCAAACATCACACTGAGGGGTGAAGCAGGAGCTGTCCAATTGCGGAGACCAGTAAAGGCCACATGGGAAATCTAAAGAAAAAAGAAGGCCTATTAATAAGCAAACCTAGTTTTAAGAGATTGCAAGTACTCCTCAACTTACAAACACAATTGGGACCAGAATTTCCATTGCTAACCAAGGTGGTGGTTGAATGAGTTTTGCCTGATTTTAGGATCCTTTTTCCCACGGTTGTTAAACAAATCACTGCAGTTGTTAAGTTAAACAACTTTGCTTGCTAGAAGCCAGCTGGGAAAGTTGCAAATGGCAATCACATGACTCTGGGACACTGCAATAATTATAAATACATGCCAGTTGCTCCAGTGCCCAAATTCTGATCCTGTGATTCAAGGGAATGCTTTTACCCCTTTAAGAGATGTTTATATAAAGTAGCCATTAGAGGGCATATTCTCTGTCCTTGTTTCTGGTATCCATTGCAGAGTTCTCAGTGTAGAGTTAAGAAGATTGATTGCTTGTCAGGTCTTTGCCTACCACATATATTACTGTATATATCTTGTATATAAACCACTGTTAAGTCTCTGTGTGCTGTGTTTTGTTCCTGGTTGTCTCATAATAGTAGTCACGCTGCAAATGCTCTGACAAACTGTCTTCCCCACATATGTCTGTAGCTGCAATATTTTCAAACATGTGCTACTCACGCCAAGGAAGCCATCTTTGCTCTTTGTCATGGTTTCCATCAACAGTGGCTGGAATTTTGCAAGGATAGAGAGTGTCTCCCCATTCGGATCCGTCACCTCTTCCTCCTCCGTGCCAGACACAGGAACCATGCCTGAATGGGGCAAAAACTCATTTTAATATGCAAAAAAAAAAAAAAATTAAAAAAAATGGAATTGAGGACACAAGAATTTCCATCAGAAAAAGTTGGCATGAAACAGGTGATGCAGAGAGGAAAAAATGTCTCAGTAGGAAACAAGATAACACTGATGTTATGTTTCACTATAAGATATATCCTTTACAGACCCAGTGGTGTTTTTTACAGGCTGATCTAAATACCGTATTTATCGGCGTATAACACGCACAGGCGTATAACACGCATCTTCATTTTAAGAGGGAAATTTCACCCCCACTCCCACCCCGCGTGCGCGCTTCAATCCACAGTGTCCCATTCTGCCTGCCTGCCTGCCTGCCTTAGTTTCTGGTTGTTTGGGAGCAGCTTCGGCTGAGAATAATAACTATTCGCCTCTTTTACTCAGCCGAAGCTGTTCCGATTCAACCATTAACGAAGGCAGGCAGGCAGGCAGAACGGAGCACTGCGGGCGGGCGGGCGGACGGGGTGGGGGAGAAACGGGCGCGGCGACAGGAAAAGCCCCCCCCCCCCGCTTCTTTGAAGCAGTTTCTTCCTGTGCTGGTGGAGGAGCGAGAGAGCGACTGAGAGAGCTGACCCAGAGAGAAGGACAGGCTTCGGTTGCTTCCTCCCTCCCCTTCTTTCATTTGTGTCCTTGATCCCCGATCCCAGCAGCATTCACCGAAGGCTTCTTAACATTATATCGGCGTATAACACGCATACATCATTTGCCCCCTATTTTCAGGGGGAAAAAAGTGCGTGTTATACGCCGATAAATACGGTAGTTAAGTAACATTTAGAAAAATAATTCCTTTTTAGGAATTGAATGCCACCAAACAAAATCATACCGTAATTTTACCATACCTGACATTTTGCCATTATCGTGTCATATAGGTTTTCAGCAATTTCATCCCTAAAACGTAATCCAAAAATACTGCAGTCCTAAAAGATTTGGGATTTGAGATTTATTCTCATTCCTTCTCTCCTACTGAGTTGTTATCTTCTTTAGTGAAATAAATGTTTCATGTACAATAGAGCTCACTGCTACACTACAGTGTAACTGATTGATAGACACTGTGACAGAGAATCCACAATAGCAGTTATTGTCCAAATTAGAGTGGCAGAAATTTATATAAAAATCATTTAGATAGCATCTGAGGGGATGCATGAAAAATACACTGCTCAAAAAAATAAAGGGAACACAAAAATAAGACATCCTAGATCTGAATGAATGAAATATTCTTATTAAATACTTTGTTCATTACATAGTTCAATGTGCTGACAACAAAATCACACAAAAATTATCAATGGAAATCAAATTTAGCAACCCATGGAGGTCTGGATTTGGAGTTACACTCAAAATTAAAGTGGAAAAAAACACTACAGGCTGATCCAACTTTGATATAATGTCCTTAAAACAAGTCAAAATGAGGCTCAGTAGTGTGTGTGACCTCTACGTGCTTGTATGACCTCCCTACAATGCCTGGGCATGCTCCTGATGAGGTGGCGGATGGTCTCCTGAGGGATTTCCTCCCACACCTGGACTAAAGCATCCCCCAACTCCTGGACAGTCTGTGGTGCAACGTGGCGTTGGGGGATGGAGCGAGACATGATGTCCCAGATGTGCTCAATTGGATTCAGGTCTGGGGAATGGGTGGGCCAGTCCATAGCATCAATGCCTTTGTCTTGCAGGAACTGCTGACACACTCCAGCCACATGAGGTCTAGCATTGTCGCGCATTAGGAGGAACCCAGGGCCAACTACACCAGCATATGGTCTCACAAGGGGTCTGAGGATCTCATCTCGGTACCTAATGGCAGTCAGGCTACCTCTGGCGAGCACATGGAGGGCTGTGTGGCCCCCTAAAGAAATGACACCCCACACCATTACTGACCCACTGCCAAACTGGTCATGCTGGAGGATGTTGCAGGTAGCAGAATGTTCTCCATGGCGTCTCCAGACCCTGTCATGTCTGTCACATGTGCTCAGTGTGAACCTGCTTTCATCTGTGAAGAGCACAGGCCCCAGTGGTGAATTTGCCAATCTTGGTGTTCTCTGGAAAATGCCAAACGTCCTGCACGGTGTTGGGCTGTAAGCACAACTCCCACCTATGGACGTCGGGCCCTCATACCATCCTTATGGAGTCTGTTTCTGACCATTTGAGCAGCCACATGCACATTTGTGGCCCACTGGAGGTCATTTTGCAGGGCTCTGGCAGTGCTCCTCCTGTTCCTCCTTGCACAAAGGCGGAGGTAGTGGTCCTGAGTTGTTGCCCTCCTACGGCCTCCTCCACGTCTCCTGATGTACTGGCCTGTCTCCTGGTAGTGCCTCCATGCTCTGGACACTACGCTGACCGACACAGCAAACCTTCTTGCCACAGCTCGCATTGATGTGCCATCCTGGATGAGCTGCACTACCTGAGCCACTTGTGTGGGTTGTAGACTCCGTCTCATGCTACCACTAGAGTGAAAGCACCGCCAGCCTTCAAAAGTGACCAAACCACCAGCCAGAAAGCATAGGAACTGAGAAGTGGTCTGTGGTCACCACCTGCAGAACCACTCCTTTATTGGGGATGTCTTGCTAACTGCCTCTGCTTTCCACCTGTTGTCTATTCCATTTGCACAACAGCATGTGAAATTGATTGTCAATCAGTGTTGCTACCTAAGTGGACAGTTTGATTTCACAGAAGTGTGATTGACTTGGAGTTACATTGTGTTGTTTAAGTGTTCCCTTTATTTTTTTGAGCAGTGTATTATGTGATCATTGATATCAGGTCCCCAATAGAACCCTATCGGGACATCGACGTTCTGGGAGAAGGAGGGGGCCTTAGTATTTTTATGACCTGTCACCTGCTTTGGTCTTTCTTTACTTTGATGTATTTTTCTGGGATAGGGAGGAGATAGGGATGGGCTTGGGGCCATCTGTTTTGTCTTAGCTCTGAAGAAGAGAGTGTGGTGCTGAGAACAAGTTCTTATTACCTTCCCAGCCTAAAGTTCTCACAGCAACTCAACACCTGGTGATTGGCTCGTGTCGGACTGAACGGTAGGCAGGGGTTTTGCCCAAGTAACTTTTAACCTAACGTTTGAGCGTGGGAACTTCAGGTCCTGCCTATTCTCTTTGCTATCACTGCCACCCAATACAAGTTCCTTTTGAAATGCTGCTTGTTTCAAGAGTTCTGCTTCCTTGAAGGGACTGCTGAGGCAAGACCTTACATTTGATTCGATTCCTTCTATCTGCTCTTTATGGGCTTCACCAAGTAGCTAGTGCCAATGCTGACAAACCTTGGTTTTTTTTTAAGTTGCCAAGCATTTAAAAATTACACCACTGTCCTCGTGAACATACTGACTCATTTAACTTGTTCTACATTTCACTACCAAAATTCCCATGACAGATTGCTATAAAAATATAAAGCTACAGTTATTAAAATCAAGCACTGAAATGAAAAACAAGGAAAATCAGCAGGTAAGCCTACTCAAAAAGCCAACGAAATCTTAAATTTCAATTTGGCAGATGTGAGCTACAAAGAATGGAAACCACCAGCAAAAAAGCTTGATCCAAATTATTATGACTGCCCTTTTTTCAATTTGCAATCTAGTACAACTATATTTGCTCCTTGTCATGACAGAACAAGCAGAAGCACACAGTGCACATTCAACATTGTAAACAGGGATTATACGTGCAGTTGGGAAACTACACTTTACAACTATAACAAACCCTCAAATCAGATACCAAAAGAGAGCCAGAGCTCAACAATTCTACCTTCATGCACCAGGTGGCAGTAACAGACCATCAATAATTGACATGGGGGCTTAAGTGGGATTGCAAATTTATTATTGTTCCCATAAATAGGCTTAAGCAAAAGGCCTGTGGATTTCCTCCTGCCTCTTCTCAGATTCCTGCTAAGTGAGCTCCTTCCACTTTACTATGCATCAAACTGGAAGATGGTAATAATTTGGGGATGAGAGGGGGATACAGCCTGCTGCCAAATACTTTGGGTTGGGAAGAAATACAATACAGATCAGATTCAGAAACCATAAGGAAATTTGTCTGGGTTTGGCTTAATGCCACAGTTGTGGTGGAAGGAATCAGGTTTACTGCAGGGCTGCACAAGCTTTTTTTGGACAGAGACCTGTACATGGTCCTGGAGTGGTTCACTGGCAACCCTTCCACCCCAAAACATGCAAAGGTTATGCAGGCACAAAAATTAGCCCCACAATTAAATTGTCTGAATGTAAAATTAAAATGAAATCAATTAATAAAATAACAGTAAATCAGCACTTTTAGGGAATCTCTATAGAAACTTCTCGAGGCCACACCCAAACATTTGGAGGAAGGAGAAGGTCTCAGGTAGGGCACACCTGAGGTATAGCATACAACATATGTGAAACAAGCCACTATACTTTGTTCAGCAAGTTATTACTAAAACAAGTCACCACTGTGCATTGTGTGTGAATCCAGCCAAAATGAGGAGGAGGCTATTCCATGACCAGGGAGAACTGGTAAGATTTTGACTCTAAAACTACAGAAGCTGGTGACCACTATGCTAGGGCATTGCCACCGAGGCGTTTATCCTTGGCGTAGTTCAACAGTACTAGACTTCTATGAAGAAAATAGCAGAAAAGTTGACAGAACCTTTTTAGCTTCCCTGGTAGTTTGATCTCCTTATAGATATGCAAAGGACAAGCATTGGCCAAATTAATCTTTCCTTCCTGTACCGGTACTCCTCGACTTACAATCCTTCATGTAGCGACAGTTTGAAGTTACAATTGCACTGAACAAGTGACTCACACTTACAACCATCACAGCTTCCCCATGGCCACGTGATCAAAATTTAAGCACTTGGCAAATGGCATTCATTTATGATGGTTTTAGCTTCCCAGGGTCATGTGATCAATTTGTGACCTCCCCTGCTGGTTCCCCCCACCCCACAAGAAAAAATCGATGGGAAGCCTTAACAATTACACGATTCACTTAACGATTGCAATGATTCACTTAATCATGGCAAATAGGTCATAAAATTAGGTGCAACTCAACAACTGCTTTGTTTAGCAACTGAAATTCTGGTCTCAATTGGGGACCTAAGTTGAGGACTCCCTGGAAAAGGCAACCGGATCCATTTCCCAAGCAAATATATCATCAAGACAACCCCAAGTAACCAGTAGATAGAAATCTTGACATTAGGATGCTGTACGCAAAGAGATTTCTGAGTTCAAAGTAGCCCATTGACACCTCCCCGTGGACAGCTCTCCGGTCACCTGACAGCAGAGCCCTCTTGCCTTCAGCTGTGCTGGATCCCTTTTAAGCTGTAGCCAAAACCAGCTCGTACAACAATGGGAATAGCAACTTTACAAAAAAAAAAACTGTCCTTGATGAGAACAGCATCTGACACACAAGCCTTTCAAGAAAACCAGAGAACTCATCGCCCTTGCCCTTCGAAAATCAAACTGAGCTGAGGAAAAGGCTGTGGGCACAACTCTCTCTCTCTCTCTCTCTCTCTCTCTGACACACACACACACACAATGTACATACATATATTGTAGGACTGGCATCTATGCATGATGGATTTACAAGGGATACCTTCCCCTCAAAGGGCAGGCAATTCATACATCCGGAATTCAAGTCAAAATTGTCAATCCTTGAAAAAAATCACAAACTTTTTAATGGGCCACCACACAGCTCCTGATATTTAATCCAACTGCAGTAGCTACTTTATGGCAGGGCTGTGGCACAAGAAAAGAGAATTGTTGTCGTATAGCTGTTAAAGCTGGTTTCAAGTGGCCATCAGTCTTTTGCACTAGGCGGCTTATACCACCTAAAAACCGATAAGCAGCATCTACACACTCGAGAACTCTTCATTCCAAAGCTTGTAATCAGGGCAGAGCAAAACAAAATCTTCTCATTTTGATATGGCTATTTGCCAAGAAATGAAAGGAAAAACAAAAAAAAGAGGTAGCAAAAAACATATTGGATCAGTGTGGAAAGTTTTGTTTACATTATTGCAACAGTCCCCTCATGGACGCCATGTTCTCACAAATCTGATTTTTTTTTTAAGGGTAGGATCTTTCCTTGCTAGAGACAATAACACTGAACAAAACAAAATCAGTGGGAGAAATTCCATCCTGGAGTCACTCCTTGTGAATTAAAGGAAGTACTATACAGAAAATTAGGGAAGTTATATAAAATATAGATCATTTTACAATTAAAAGCAAGTCATTTCCACATATTCACACACTGCTTAGCCGCATCATAACCAAAGAAGTACAAGCCACACATTTAAGCCATGAGGAAAAAAATGGTAGGAATGTTTTTGCGCAGCACCGATATTTACTCATCATTTCTGCTCTCAAATTCTTAAAACACTTACCAGTCAGTTTCTCTGCAATTGGTTTGAATTCCTCAGGGCTGATGAACAAATCATTGTTAGTATCCAGGGAAGAGAAGAGGAAAAGTCCCTCATTTCCCAGAGATTTCAGGGCTGTTTCCTAAGTGGAAGGAAAGGGATTCTTTAAATCATACATTCATGAAATAAAGAAATTCAAATTAACCATCTGTCTCATCACCCAAGCTAGTTACATGATATGCACCTGGGCAGGTAAGAAGCGTAAGAATCTCCTCTTTCAGACAAATGAAATGAGCAGATAGATCGTTTCATCAAAACAGGTATAATGCAGAACAGCTGGAAAATGATTTTTTTCCAATTCGGTATTGTAATGTTGACGAAACTCCAGGAGGGAAAGGATTTAATTTTGATGGAAGGAGTCACATATGCTGAAAGTAAGTATAGGTAGTCCTCAAACTCTGACCATAATGGAGCCTGCCCATCATGGTTATAAGTCATGACTATTGTAGCTATTATAGCTTGGTTAGGTATCAGGCACTGTGTGGTGGCCCATAAAAGCTCATGATTTTATTTTCTTTTTTTATGGTGGTGGTGAAATAAATGCTGTGGTCATTAAGCAAATCCATGTTTTGATATGGATTTTGCTGAAAACCAAAAGTAAATGCTGGTTTCTGGCAAAACCATCATAAATCATGGTCACATGATGGGACATAGTAATAGCAGCCTGGTTGCTGAGCACCAAAGTCCAGTCACATGACAACAAGGTGAGTGACTGCTAAATCTTCAGAACTGGGTCATAAAAACTGTGCTCAGGTAAGTCCATCAGAACTTCAAATCATCACTAAGGGACCAGTCATGAATCAAGGATTACCTGTATGCTTCTTCATAACTGCAGTTGTAAGCTAGACTGAGAAAGAAATTTCAAACCACTTCTATAATCCTGTCAAGAAAATGGCATTGATGCAGCACAGCTAAATTTGATACTGTTCTTTTAATTAATTTTTAAATATCCTTATTTGTAAGCCAGCCTTCTTCTACAGTACCAAGAACCCTCCAGTTTTGTTAGACTTCGTCTCTGAGTATTATGTTTGTTGGTCTGACACACCCAAGGAACACCAATTAGAGGCAGGTATTAGCTATGCTTGTGAAAAATGCATGCATCATCTTGCTTTTATTGTTTTATTTATTTATCAAATTTAGAATCCGCTCATCTCCCTCACAGAGGGATTCTTTTCCTTTCTGGTGCAGAAAACAAAAATCTTCACCCAGCAAGACTAACATCACAGGAGAGAATTATGTTAGGAAAAGGTGAAGTGAAGAAAGAACCAATTTCCTCTTTCATTTTCACTCTTCTAAGGCAAAGCCTTCTGATACTAACTTTTCAGAACATATTCTCCAAAGTGGAGATTCGTGATTGCATGGCACCTGTTTTAGTCTCAGCAAAGGCAAATTAGAAATAGGCTGATGCGCTATAGAAGGTAAGCCAACTTTACAGGTTGAAATCAAAAGATAATTACCTCCCTGCTATTTGGTAGAATAGCAGGCATAAAAAGATTGGGTTGTTATCAAATTTGCCTCACCAATGCACTTAACTGAAGAGAACTTTGTGTCATAACTGCATTTAGAATTGAACTGAAAAGCGAACAAGACACTAACTTCACCAGCCACTGTTTTGTCAAAAGGTTTGCTGTTCACAAGGAATTTGAGTCTTTCAGATAGCTCAAAGATTTGCAATTATGGTTAGTGAACCAGGGATATTTATCATGCTCCAGTAGCAGGGATTATATAATCAATCAAGTACATGGTCAGAAAAATTATATGTGCAGGGTTCTCAAATACGGCAGAAGGTATTTCTAAATTTAAGCAATGCTCTTCCTGCAAGTGCAGTAGCAGCAGGAGCTCTGAAGCTGTCTAATTTTAATAGAACCTGCTTGAAAAGTGATTATCCCTGTCCAGCAATGGAATACAACTGAAGCCTCAGGTGCAAGAATGGAAGAGCAGTAAACAATTTTAAAAATTAACTGCAAAAAATTAACAAAATTCAGTTAATTCATCCCAATGCAGGTAATCCTGGACTTACAACAGTTCATTTAGTGACCATTCCAAGTTACAACAGCACTGAAAAAAGTGACTTATGACCATTTTTCACACTTATCAACATTGCAGCATCCCCATAGTCATGTGATTTACATTCAGATGCTTGACAGCTGACTCATATTTATGACGGTTGCAGTGTTCAGGAGTAATTTTGCGACCTTCTTGACAAGCAGAGTCAACGGGGAAGCCAGATTAATTTTTAACAACCATGTTACTAATTTAACAATTGCAATGACTCACTTAACAAATGTGGCAAGAAAAGTCACAACATGGGACAAATCCACTTAACAATTTTTTCACTTAACATAAATGTTGGGCTCAATTGTGGTCATAAGTTGAGGACTACCTGCACTGTCCCTTCGATAAAGTTGTACTAGTAGACAATTTACAGTCCATGAGTCACAAAGATTCCATCCTCAACCATTTCTGCATTTCTGTGTACTATGCAACATCAGACTGCCAAAATTCGGCAATAAAACACTGGCTTTTGGCAGCATCATTTTTGGCATGCAAACACCCATAAAATAAATATATGTGTGTATACAGGTGTGTGTATACAGTGTGCGTGTTTAATATACATATTTTATAGATGCACAGATATATATTCAGAGGGGGGGGGAGAGAGGGGAGGGAAGGAGGGAGAAAGAGAGAGAGAGAACATATTACATGTTCCCAAATGTGCTTTTTTTCAGGAGGCAAGTGGACTTTATTTTTTCTTTTGAAGACATTTCACTTCTCATCCAAGAAGCTTCTTCAGTTCTGACAGGATAGTGGGGACTCTCACATTTTCCTTCAAAATCTGTTTTGAGAAGATTTTCCATCCTAAAAGTTATTTGTTTTACAAATGAATAGAGACAATTTGATTTTTTTTAATCTGTGCAATTAACTGCAAATAGACTGCTGAAATTATACAAACATCTATTATCATTCTGTGTGATATGATACAACACACTCTCCCTTTTTTTAATCCCGCTGTCACTTTGGTTCTGGGTGAATTGTTTTGACACAAAGTAAGAATAAACTGATTATCATACTGGAGAGGATTATAACAAGTTGCAACTCATGGCTCACTGTTTTTTTCTGCAGTATGGTGGCTTCAATATAATTTCATAAAGCCCTTGGACTATCTTCACAACCCTTCAACCAATGATCAGACAGATCTCTGGGAGTTCTCTAGCTGTTCTTTTCCTGCAGCTGCTACTTAGAAAAAAAAGATCTCAGAAAAGAGAGAGAGAGAGAGAGAGAGAAGGCGAATAGTCCTTGTCTTATGACCATAACCGAGACCATTATTTCTGATGCTAAGCAGTGTGTTGTTAAGTGAGTTGCACTCAGCTTTACAACTTTTTTTCCACCATTGTTAAGTAAATCCCAGCAGTTAAATGAATCAGCGGCTCTTATGCGAATTCTGCAGTGGTGGGATTCAAACTTTTTTACTACCGGTTCTGTGGGTGTGGCTTGGTGGGTGTGGCTTGGTGGGCGTGGCAGGGGCAGGTTACTGCAAAATCCTCATTCCCTCCCCACCCCACTAACCTGCTTTCCATCTCCGTTCTCCTGTACAGGGCAAATGTTTGGGGAGATGTTTGGCCCCAAACCTATTCCATCTCATGGCTGAGATGTAGCAGCTGTTATAAAACAAATATAGTTACATTATCTCACTAGTTCCCATTAATTTCTATGAGTCACTTAAGGCAAATTCTCCTGATGGGTTGAGTCCACAGCTCACATTCCTTCTATCTCAGCTCATTACTGCCAGGTTGGCAAAAAATTGCTTAATTCAGGCAGTGTTTTGGAGATATAAGAGAGTATGGGAAACATGAGTAAGTCGTTAAGATTAGAAGTAAGGAACTCTACTGTTTTTTGGACTTCAATGGAGGGCAATGGGTGTTGGAGTCCAACAGTACCTAAAAGGGCACATGTTCCTCATCCCTTTAAGACACGTCCCTTTAAAACATGTGGACTTCAATTCCCAGAATTCTCCTGTGGAAATCGGGGAGTTGAAGCCCATAAGTCTTAAAGTTGCCAAGGTTAGAAAAACACTGGTCTATGAGCAAGCAATCTCAAGTAAGGTTGGAGGAGGTGACTTTAAAATTTACTCTGTCATCTGTTATGGAGTGCAGGCAGACCCCCACCCCATCTCCCCAGAGCAATGTGGTCTCCTCTTCCCTCTGCAGGCTTCTCTGCTGCTTGCCACCCCATTAAAGTTCCCACAGCTCTGAAGAGCATTTATTTTCCATCTGCTATCTGCCAGCCTAAAAGGATGCTAATGCGCCCTGAAAAGCTGCTGTTGTTGTCAATTATGGACAGGAAGACACTTAAGTGCCTTGCAGGGCTGATTCAAAAGTAGAAATGGGTCGGGAATGGATCCCAAGCTAAAACTCAGAAGACATGAAAGCTCACGAGCTAAAAAAACAGTGACATCACTAAGCATTTAAGGCCAGGACATTATTTTAGTGGCACTAGCCCAAGGCTGTTTGAAATGCAGTGAGGTACAACCAGTTATCCGTTTGGCTGAGCAATGCCATTAAAATGCCTACAAGTATAATAATGTTCTGCAAGCCAGGATGTTGATTTCCCAAATATGTTTCTTTCCCCCAGGGTATTCGCACTAACTGCAAAATGGCAAGCCTCAAAACCTGGAATCTGCAGGCACAATAAGTAGACTTAAGGAAAACAAAACAATATAAAAAGATTTATTTCTATACAGTCCAAACTATCTGCATCCGTCTGTATCTAAAGGTAATCCTCGAGTTACAATCATTTGCTTAGCAACTATTCAAAGTTAAAGCGGCATTGAAAAAAGTGACATGCAACTGGTCCTGGCACTTATGGCTGTTGCAGCATCTTTGCAGTCACGATTAAAATCCAGGCACTTGGCAACAACCGGCATGCATTTACAATGGTTGTGACATCCTGGGGACACGTGATTCCCATTTATGACCTTCCCAGCTGGTTTCTGACAAGCAAGTCAACAAGGGGGGCTAGATTTGCTGAAAGACCACGTGATTTTCTTAACCATATGGATTCTTTGAATGAGGATGGCAAAAACTGCCATAAAATTGTGCATGACTAACTTAGCCATTGCCTCGCTTAGCACTGGAAGTACCAGTTCCAAAAGTGGTCGTAAATTGAGGAATACCTGTATTTAGGAATTAGTTTATTGGGGGGTGCTGAAAGGTTATCCTCTGCCCCTCCCTTTAGGAACCTATTTAGTATTTAGTATTTTTTTTAGTATTTATTTGATTTGTCAATCGCTTACAAGATACAGGTATAAGAATAAACATCGTTTTGAATACATGAGATAGATACTTATAAGAAAAATAAAAAGAATAGGACAGGGATGGTAGGCACGATTGGTGCGCTTATGCACGCCCCTTTAAACCTCCTTTAAAGTAATTGAAGGCTGCAAAGAATCCAATCAGTTACATGCATTTAGAAGTGCATTCTTTTGTCTGTCCTCAAATGCCCTCCCCTTCAGTTTTATGGCACCAGGAACAACAGTTACCCAGTGAAAACAATTCTATTAATGCTGCTGAGTGTGGCTGCCTGTCTTATGAATATAACCCTGGGCAGCTCAGCTTTTATTACCCTAGTAAAAGATGAAAGAGCCTTCAAAAACTTCCAGCACTCCAAGAACAAACACTCTTCCAAACATCAACATTCACATCACATGTACAATTATTTCTAATAAAAACACTTCTGAATTTTATGGGGCTTATTTCCCCCAAACAATACAAGCTGTTGCCCATTTTTTATACAGCTCTTTAGTTGGGAGAAATACCTTTCAAACTCCTTAGGAGATTGGTATGCGCCATCGTTGGGTGTCCAGTTCAAACAACCACAGAGTTCTAGTCCCACTTTAGGCATGAAACCTGGATGGATGGATGGATGGATGGACCAAAGTGAATGACTGGTTCATTCTCTCTGGTTCAACCTAATCCATCACAGAGTTGTAGTTGAGGGGAAAATAGGAGGAAGGAGTATGAGGTATGTTCACTGCCTTGTATGTGCGTGTGTGTTTGTGTGTGTGTGTGAGAGAGAGAGACACACACACACACAATGTAAATACCTAAATAAAACAGATGTTCTCCACTCCAACAGGACACAGATGCACATACGCCTAGTTAATCCATACAAGATGCACACCCATCAGGTAAACAACTAGCAGATGCACTTTATGTCTGACAGTTTTTAACCTTACAAGGAGGTTGTGTGTATGAGGCTGAGGCCCTTTTGCCATTTCAGGATGGTTCAGGATTGCATTTTGCACATCCAAAACGTTAGTTACTCAAGCCAGGTTAATGTCAGAATGTGACCAAGCCCCTTCTGAGCCCCCTTCTAAACCGAGATTCAAAAGCACCATGGGAAGGACCCCCCATCTTTACTCTCCACTGTCTCCAGAATAAACCCCAATGACCTCAAAAAAGGCCTTAGGAATATCTTGTGCAGAAGCCCCGGTAGACTGCAGGCTCCTTGCACTCCTTGGGGTTACAGTTCTTTATCACGACTTAATATTTAATTATGACTTTATTCAGTATGATATTCATTCTCTCTCTCTTCAATATAAGATGAAATGTAATATGAAACATACCACATCATGGTACATAATCATGATTATGGGATTATTCCTATTATCAGTCCCCTTCAACGTCCCGAGACCCCACAGCTGCCCCCTCCTCCCCCAAGGCCCGACCACCCCCAACCCAGTTCCTCATTACCTGCCGCCGGGCGGCCTCCGCGTCCCGGTAGTATTTGGCGGCCAGCAGCGCCGCCAGGAAGGCCAGGCCCAGGCCCAGCCGTGGCAGCCGAGCAGGAGGAAGCGCCGGTGGCGGCCGGCGCCCAGAACCGCCGCCTTGGGAGGCCTCCGTAGGCGAGGCGGCCTGTTCGGGCGGGCGGCCCTCCTCTTCACCGCCGCGGGCCATGGCCGCCGCTGGCCGGGAGGGGGAAGCGCCGGCTCTCGGTCCCGCCTCGCCCGGAATGCAGAGAGAGGCGGCGGCGGCGGCGGCGGCCTCGTGGTTCTTTCGCGGACCTCTAAAGCAGCGAAGGCGGCGGCATCTCAGGATCCCCTCAGTCGACAGGCGGCTCCACTTCGGCCTCGGGCGGCGCGGCGCGGCGTGACGGCGGAGCTTCCAGCTGCCCTCTCCCGCCTCCCGCCTTTCCTGCGCTGGTCCAGGCGGCCTGCGCGGTCTTCCTCCCTCCTCCTCCTCCCCGCGTCTTCCCACCACCGCCGCTCGGGGCCCACTAGGCCGACTCGGAGTTGCTCAGGGTCTCCTGGCTCGCCCTCCCTTCCCACTCGATCCTTTTCCTACAGGTAGTTGAGGCCAACATTTCTGTTGTGAAGTGAAACATTTATTAAGCGAGTTTTGCCCTGTTTTGTGACCTTTCCTGCCAGAGTTGTTAAGTGAATCATTGTTACCTTAGTCACATGGTTGTTAAGTGACTCTGGCTTCCCCATTGACTTTGCTTGTCAGAAGGTTGCAAAAGGGGATCACATGAGCCGGGACACTGCAACCGTCATAAATATGAGTCACATCAAGCGTCTGAATTTTGATCACATGTCCATGGGAATGCTGCAACGGTCATATGTGAAAAACAGCCATAAATCACTTAAGTGCCATTGTAAGTTCAAATGGTCACTAAACAAACTGTTGTAAGTTGAGGACTACCTGTAATTCGCTTCAGATCTCCTTCCATAAATTTCCCCACAACAACCCTGTGGGATAGGATGGGTCATTTTGGGTGCTTTGGTGGCTACCAGAGTACGAGAGTCTGGGGACTCTCCGGAGAAGTAGGCATGAAAAGGACCGCCACAAAAAATTGTCTTGATCTTGTAACATTTTGTTTTATCTTTTCTTTTTATTCTTTACTACTGGGCTTAGAGGTTAAAAAAAAAAACTAAAAAAAAAAGGTTTATGAAAAAAGATATAAACAATACAGTTTTGCAACAATACAGTGTATCAAGCAGTAGGTGTATCCATGTATCAAAATCAAGTATCAATAGAGGTAATTGATGTAATGATAACATTAAAAATAAATGAAATGAAATGACATTCAGAAATAAGAAAATAAAATACCTAGGAACAAAATCTAAAGAACCAAACAGCAAAGAAAAACATCTCAAGGGATCTCATCATCCTAACTCGCAGCTTAGGACATTTCAGTCCTCTGTTCATTGCTCATTATCAAATTATCAGTTACCAGTTTTCCAACCATCTATATCATCTATATCTATGCAGTTATTTCTTACCTTATGCTCCATGCTCATTAATGCACAACCACCACAAAAGATGGTAAGAGATGGGTATGATCTCTGTACTAAAGCTTTCAGCTACTCACTACTAAAGCTAGTAGTATTTATTATCATTATTTGCATCATTTGTATGGCTGCCCATTTTATCCAAGCAAACTGGGTGGCTCACTACAAGTGAAAAACAAATCAAAAACAATAGACAAATAGATAAAAACCATCCATGATCAATTTAAACCAAATAATCATGATCAGCACCAGAATCTACCTATGCATTCTCTTGCTTGGGCAGTTATTCTATTAAACTTTGCATCAGCTCAGTACAACCATTGTGTATTGTGCTCCTCACCATTTGCAGAATCCCCAGGCATGACAGCAGGGCCGTGTCTTCAGGGCCTTCCAAAAACCTCTGAGGGTTGTAGCCAATATGTTGGTCAGTATGATGATGGCATCAGCTTTATAGAATCCAGCATGGAATGGAAACTTGTGATGACTGGAAGAAGTGTTCAGCTACAAAATGTCCTTTTATTTGTGTTTTGATGCGACCAGAACTCATCTCTGCACTAAGACAGTACCAATGGTTTTTAAAATTATTTTATTGAAGAACTACAGGACCTCACAGTTTCTCTGACAGTTTTATGTTCTAGTGCAGCTGTTCCTATACTTTCTGTTCTGAATGTTTTATCATTTTGAATTCTTCCAGTTTACTTGGCACTTCCCAGTCTGTCACTTAAAAAAAAGTCATGTTTTGGAGATCCTTTCCTTTGGAAGTATGGTATGCCACAGAGCCTGCAAACTTCTGGAGAGATTATTGTACCATGAAAGACAAGATATTTGTTAAAATATAGCTGCTTCATGACTAAATAAAGAGGTGCAGGTTCGCACTCCCATCTAGGACAATTTCACATAAATTAATTTCTCCTTTGAAACAAATTTCAGAAACAAATTCTCTTTTGCGAAACTACAAAAATGCAAATATTTCTGCATACCATCCAGCGAGCAGGGTGTATCCTAACAGTGTGAGCTTTTTGCTTTGTTGCTGGTGGCACACCGAACTGTCTGTTGAAATCCATGGAGGTCAGTCAGCCAGTGGCTGACGCTACTTTTGATTTGTGAGGATTTCTGGGGATGTGTCTGAGCTTTCAAGTCCTGTAAGAAGAAAGAGCCAAGACAGAACAGGTTTTTGTAGCGTGAGTGTGCTGTAGTCAATGTAACGTTAATGCTGCTCCTGTGGCCATTGTTATTTTTGAATTCATATTCTTTTGTTCTGTATTTCTGGTGATGTGCATGGGTCTTCAAGGGATAGAAAAAGACTTGAGTGAGGCTCCCAGAAACCATTAAGTGTTATCAAAGGAGAAATTCTAAAAGACATTTCTGAAACAGAATCATATTAACTGTGTTTACTTTTACTTAATGAAACTTGGCTTTAGTTCCAGTCTCTAGTGCTAGCCTCACAGCATGAGATTTAAAACTCCTCTCTTGTCTGGAAAACACTGGGCAGCCCTGACTGGGATAAATCTTTTACGCTAGCCTGCCTCCTTCTGGTCAGAGTAAAAAAAGAGAAAATGTTTCATCTCCTAAATATCCGTATGTCAGTCCCAGAGAAAAGAGTGAAGTGTTGCCCACTGTTTACTTAAGAGGCCAATCCAGACCTCAGAATGAGGAAACTGTTAACAGGTAGCTTATGTCTTTAGGAATGTGTTACACATTATAAATAAATCTATTTTGGCTGGAATCCTCTGTCAACTATTTGGATCGTGAACGAATAACAATACCGGGGCTGAGATAAGTCCTAAAATGGTTGCACCGGTATCAGGGCCTCACAGCACAATCCATATACGTGGCTCTTTTTGTTTCATTCCTACAAGATGGGATGGAGGTTAAAAAAAAAAAGAGCAAGTTCTGTTCTGCCATAATATATTTGTTTCCTTTTTCTTCATTCTAGGAAAAATGAGGTAACCATTGCAACAGCTGGAACTGCTGGAACATTGGCTTTTACAACACAGCCAGCTCTGCTGATACACAGAGATGAGTGTACCAAGCAGAAAGATTTACATGCCTGGGAACAGAGGCGCTGCTGGCATGTTGTATCTCACCAGGTACTTTATAAATCCAATCAAGTAATTCAGTGAATCACTTAAAAACAAATTGTAACTTCATGTGACACTAAACCTGGATCGCCATCTTTCCATATCTTCCTCAAAGTAATTGCAAGAATAAAATTAGCGAGAATAAATATTATTTTTCTCTGAAAAGATAGGGTAGAAATAAAAATAAGTACATGTAGCATAATACGGGTAGTACTCATTTAGCAACCACAATTTGTAACGGCATTTCAGTCATTAAGCAAAGTGGTCACTAAGTGAAACTGAGATTATGCTTATGATCTTACTTCAGCTTTGCTTTGCAATCCTGAGAAGGTCGTAAGTCTGAGGATTGGTCACAAAGTTCCTTTTTCATTATTGCAACTGTGAATAGTTGCTAAATGGTTATTTTCTTATTTACCTCCGCTGCTGTTTTATGCTCTGTATTTCCCTCTTATTAGACAGTCTGATCTAATTTTTATGCACAGAATTTGCTCTTTCACATTTTGCTTATGGTTTGTTGGATATTGGCCACTCTACTCCATGACCTACTTTCAGCAGCCATCTGGGAGGCACAATGAATACAGGTCTCTCTAAGATGAGAGCAACCATATTTCAAATTCTGCAAGGCTCTATTTGATTTATGGGGCTGGTTTGAACAAGGCATTAAACAACCCTTTGTTTATGCTGTTTGTCAAAGAAGTCCCCCAACACAACCAACATGCTAAACCATCACCATGGTTTGCCAACCAGAAGGGTGGTTCCTACACACAGTATAGTGTCATAGTTAAGAACAAGGATTAGGAAAAATAGGAGTAGGAAGCTTTGCAAATACTGCCTCCTGCCTAAACAAAAAGCAGGATATAAATCAAATAAGATTGTGATGCAATCCATGCCATTTTTGTCTAGCTATTCCCCTTCACTTGCGCTTTTGTACAAAGAACTCACAAGTGCTCCTATCTTGTATCAAACCATTCTATAGCTTGTTGCCATTGCATTGTTTTTATATCCTTCTCTTTGATGAATGCAGGTCTTAGAACCTATTGCATGAAAGCCACATCCCTCTTTAGCTAGCTGTTGTTTGGCCAAGTGATAAATATTAAGTTACTTTAATCTTCGTCCATAAATCACTGTCTACCAGATCCTTATTAAGCCTGCATAGTCCTACAGCACTTATGAAATTCCCAGGTTGATAAAAGAATAGCTATATTTTTCCGATGATGGATGGCAGAATTAAGAACCCCAAACACATTGGAATATGTTTCATTTTTGACTTCAGGTTACTATTTTTCCCCTCTTTCTCTTTTATGTCTTTTGCTGTCTAGACCTGGATGTGCGAGAAAGATTAAAATGATGAAACCACCAAAAATGCTGCCTTCCCTTATTATTTTTAGTGTCACTGTGGTACTATAGGTACTATATGTGACATTGAGGCTGCTGTCCACCTTGATGAATGTAGCTTAATGTATGTAGCCATCAAATGATGGATATGCATTCAGACATAGGGACAGAAACACATAGCATTTAAAACAGGAGTTATGTGCTTGAAGAGGTGTAGCAATGATCTGTATGCTCCATTTTTCTATTGAAACAAGAGGACACCCATTAAACACCCCTCCCCATGAAGAAAATATAAGAGGGGCCTTGCCAGTATTTTTTTCCCGACACTGGCTAAATAGCTCCTTTTGATTCTGGTGGAAATGGCATTCCTGCTTGTTATTTTTCATGTGTGGTCAGGATCTAAGGAGAAAGCTCACTTTTCCCTTTGCAATTTTATGTTTTTACATCCACATGATTTTGGTTGTAGAGTCCTTAATAACAGTCTTGCGAGTGGCTATAAATCTTCCCATTTCCATCTTGGTTCTTCTCTCCTTACTAGAGAAAATACTAAATTGCTTAGTTTTCTCAGTTTGTGTTGCTGGGGCCCAAAGGGTAGCAGAGAGGGAGGGGAAGGAAAGGAAATCCCACCACAGGAAACCCAAATATCACTGGACGCCATAAACTGTTTTTGAACCAATGTATGATGTCTAATGCACTTCAGAGTGTTTCTTTCAGTTGGAGCAAAATCTGTGGTATGCCTTAAAAAATTCAAGTGGGTTCATTCAAACTGCGAGTTTCCTTCTATTCCCTTCCTTCTGAAATCAGATAAATAGCCGGTCAATTATTTCTATTTTTTTGGTGCTCCCATTTTTCCTTCTTAGAAAGAAGGTCTACTCCACTTTGCCAGCCACCAAATTTCTGCCAAGAGCTTCCCAAACCTCCTCTTGCCATTTCATAGTACATAGTACGGTTTTTTAAAAAATACTATTAATGCTACCTTTGTCTTTTTCTCAAGAACAGTTCTTAGAACAAGTATGTCAATCTGCATGCCACGCAGTTGCTATGTGATTTCATCATTGTTTTCCTTCTGTAAGAGGTTATACAATAAATTGTGATGTACTTGTAATATTCATGTCCTCAGTTTGACATACTTTCTCCCCACTGGAGCACAGCGGCATGATTTGCTGTGTTGCATGTCGCACCTCTAGAAGAAAAAAAAACCCTTCTTTTGCAGATTGGTTAGACCACAGACTTTTTTTTTGGTGTGGGGGGGTGTCACAATATGTTTGAAATAATTACACTTTGTAAGTTTGCATGTTCTGCTCTTCCAACTGAACTGGCAGCTGCATTTCAAAAAGTCAAGAGATAAGAATCAACTGAAATCTCAAAAGGTGCTTTTTTTTCTCTTCGAAAGACAACTGGGCTGTTTTTTCCTTGAGGAAGAAAACATTTTGCTTTTAATTCAAGAAGCTTCATCAGTTCTGATGGTGGAGGGATGGAAGGACAGATTCTGATAGGATGGTGGAAGGGGTATGGAAGGATTGTATTTCTTTGCAGTCATCTGGTTGTTAGCATTCTCTGAGAGCAGTTGAGGCCACATGGGGGTTTATTTGTGCCCTCAGGAGCATCTGAATTAGGGTGCAACTGGTTGTGGAATCTGCAAAAGCCAAGTTGTAAACTGGAGATAGGGGGAGCCTTATTCCAATCCTCACTCTCTGTAGAGGGAGGGTTGTTAAATTCTATAATAGAGGGATTTTTTTTTACCCTTTTTTCAAACCAACGTTCCTTTCTATCCAAAATTTGCTCTCTTCAAAAGAGTGACCTTTGTCTTTCAAACGCAGATGGGCTGCTAAACCTTGTCCTGATGGATTTTGATCTTCTATGTTGTGCCATGTGCTCATGAAGTGGTGGTTTTGTTTTACCAATCAATTGAAATTTCACCACACTCACAAATTTGCCATATTAGACAACAGAGAATAATCGTATACTTTCAACTCTCCTTTAATATGGTAGAACATATTTCTTTAGTTTTTTTTCCCATCCATCTTTTCTCATTTCCCCTCTCCCTTTGCTGTAATGAAGATTCCTGCTGTAGTCTGCTACAACATTTAGTAGAAGGTGGGGATGGAGAGCCTGTAAAGATTTCTTCAGATTTCAAAGAAAATCCAAGCAAGCATAGATCAGTTGTAGTGTATGTGTGGGATGGAATGCATTTTACCTCTCGGATTTCACGCCACTGAATTTTATGAACATCATCTTGGTTCAGAAGGATAAACCAAAACAATTTTAAAATAAAAATTCAAATCTTCTCCAAGTCCTATATGACTCCTGATAATTACATAAATAAGACCATGTAGTTTTCTTGGCAATAATATGTGATTTGCCACAGCCGTCTTCCAGGATGACAATGATGATGATTACTATTGATTTATTAGTCTAACCTACTGCCCTGGGATTTTCTGGAGCTTTCCTAACCAAGTAATCTCTAACCCTGTTTAGCTTATTCAAGATTAGCTAAGATCCTTGGAAGTTGTATGCAATTTCTAACTGCCAAATGCAATAATGACTCAATTTTGAGTCTTAGATTTAATGAAGTAAAAAATATATTTGGCTACTTTCAAGTTCATTATCAAGTTCATAGTTGCTATCTGTTGAAAACTGTTCTGTTCATTCAGATTTTTAATGCATTTTATTTTAGATTCTGGAAAGAGTACTGTATATTTGATATTTCTCCTTAGCAGATACTTGCATTGGACAGAGCAGGGAGAAGAGAAAAAAATACAGATAGTTCCTAAATTATGACTATTTGTTTAAAGGCTGTTTGAAGTTATAATGATGATGAAAAAAGTGACTTTTGACCATGCACTTATGACCATCTGTGGCCACATCATCAGAATTTGGGCACTTGGTAACCAGCATGTATTTACAAGTGTCCTGGCATTATGTGGTTGCCGTTTGTAACTTTCCCAGGGGGCTTCTGATAATCAAATTCAAGGGGAAAAACTGGGTTTGTGTCATATGGGAAAACAGTCATAAAATTGGGCATGACTCACTTAATGACTGCATCATTAGCATTAAGTTCTGGTCTGAATTGTGGTGAGGATTATCTGTATGCCCTGAATCATGTCTGGCTCTGGTTTAACCCCTGCTGCTCTCAGATGCATTTAGGCAGTAAATTATTATACACAGATAGGGAAGATATACATCATTCAAAAGAAAAAAAAACATTTCCTCCATCTTTAAGAACTGCTCTGAAGACTGTGCTCCAAATGTGAGGGGCCAGGTCTTTTAGACACATTCTGTGATGGTTGAATGAAGGTGATAAATAATGCTGCTTCACTGTACTTCAAAATTCAATAGAAATTCTACAAGGAGCTAGAATGATACCCTTTGATTCATGTCAAAAGGCTCTTTGATTCTGTACGTGGTCTATTTAAAAAAAATTATTTTGGCAAACGCTTATTTTCCTGCTAGGAATACTTGCAAAAGGATGAGACATGAGAGGTTCTCAAGGCAGTTACTTAGGAGTAACTCTCCACTAGGCAGGGATCGCCAGTCTTCTGATCCTGAAGATGAAATCTCCAAGGGGTCTATTGGACAGTCTGACCCTTCTCCCACACCCCTCGGCTTCAAGAGCTGCAAATTCAACACAAAACATCTCTTCTGCATCTTGCTCTAAGCGCCTTTTCTTTCCTTCTTTAAATCTAGAAAGAAAGCCACCAAAATCTTGGGAGAAAGAGAAATGCATCACTTGATTTGAGTACCTGAGCAAATCATCTGTGGCAGAGAAAGAGAGTAAAAAGATCTTGCAGAAGTGCAGTTAAATCTGAACAAGAAAAGCTTAAGGAGGTGTGATAAATACACACACAACCAACTTCAACCAGGGGAATTAACACACCCTCCCCAACCTGGCGCTTGCTAGAGATTTTGACTAACCACCATCTTCAACAACTGGTATCCACCTTAGTAAAGGACATTATTCAAGTGAGTACGAGAAGACACCACCTACCTCCACACCACTCAAGCCCCCAGGTTTTAGTCTCTCACTCTTGTAACTTTCAATAGTTGTTGAAAACAAGCTGTTTTTGTATTTTTATTGTATTGTAAACTGCCTAGAGCAGAGGTCTCCAAACTTGGCAACTTTAAGACTTAAGACTTGTGGACTTCAATTCCCAGCATTCTCTAGCCAGCTGGCTGGGGAATTCTGGGAATTGAAGTGCACAAGTCTTAAAGTTGCCAAGTTTTGGGGGCCCTGGCCTAGAGTCACTTCGGATAGGAAGATGAGTAACATATAAATTTATTAAACAAATATATGATTGGTAGTGTACAGATAGTCCCCGACTTAACAACCATTTGCTTAGTGACCAAAGTTACAATGGATCTGACTGATGACCATTTTTCACACTTATGAGCATTGCAGCATCCCCAAGGCCATAGGGATCAAAATTTGATTGCTTGAAAACTGGCAGGTATGTATGATGGTTGCATTATCCCAGGGTCATGTGATCCAGAGGTGGTATTCAGCAGGTTCTGACCAGTTCTGGAGAACCGGTAGTGGAAATTTTGGGTAGTTCAGAGAACCAGCAAATCCCACCTCTGACTGGCCCCGCCCCCATCTATTCTCCACCTCCCGAGTCCCAGCTGATTGGATGGGTCTCTTTTGTTGCCCTGCACAGGAGAATGGAGCTGAAAAGCAGGTTAGTGGGATGGGGAGGAAATGGGATTTTGCAGTATCCTTCCCCCTGCCACGCCCACCAAGCCACGCCCACAGAACCAGTAGTAAAAAATTTTGAATCCCACCACTGACGTGATCCCTTGCTGCGACCATCTGACCAAGTCAATGGGGGATCCAGATTTCATTTAACAACTGTAATACTAAACAACTGCGGTGATTCACTGTCACAAGAAAAGTTGTAAAATGGGGCAAAACTCCCTTAACAACTGTTTCGCTTAACGAAAGGAATTTTGGGCTCAGTTGTGGACGTAATTCGAGGACTGCCTGTCCTCGAGAGATTTAACTTCCAGGAATCAGGTTCACAGGCACAAAGTGTTGTGTCCGCTGCCCTGAGATCACAAAGGACAAGCTGCTTCACTCGAATACAGTTCTTGTGCAGACAGACAGGCAGAACTTGTTCAGCAGACACAGCTTCACCCACTTGTACAATTGCCGGCTTTGGCACCATCCTTTGGCCACTAAATTCTCGGCTTCCAGGAGGCAGAGGCAGCCGGTCCACTCCGTCCTTTAGCCCCTCTGGCTTCAGTCCACCATGCTGTCTTCCCCCTTTTGGAACTGAAGCCCCTGCTGCTCTAAGGTAGCCTAGGAACCGGCTCTTCCCATCTGCTTCAGCAGCCAAAAACCAGGGGAATCTGCCAAGGCCCCCGTTGCTTCCAGCCACCTCTTGGCTGCCTCTTTTCTTGTCTAACCTTCCATGCCACCCCAGCCACGTGTCTTTGTTTTTTTTTTAGCCGACATGAAATTTTTATTTTATTTTTCACATCTGAGCATTACAGAAATGAAATCATTACAAATGCCTCATAAGGTTTTGCTCCAGATGAAAAGGAAAAAAAAAAAACCAAAGGAAAGTGAAAAAAGCAAAATGCAGGGTGGGGAAAAAAGGAAAAAAAAGAAAACGACAGCTGGCAAACATTTGAAGAGAATGGAAAGACGGGTGAGGAAAGGGTGAGCAAAGAAAGAAATGTGTGGGATTTAGAAAGATTTCTTAACCAGAACCTCTTGAGATGTGTACTGCTTTAAAAAAAAAAAAAAGATCAGAAAGGTGGAGGGCGAAATCAATGGTATATAAAAAAGGAGGGAGCAAGTTTGGGGCAAGAAGAGTGGCACAAACTGACATCTATTTTATGGCAAACTCCTGATCCTTTGGCCACGCAAAAGCGAAAGTCAGTGGATTCCATAGAAATTCTTCATAGAAAGGAACGTCCGCGATTTTGTCTTGTCTTATGGCCCGTAATCAACATCCAATTATCAGGTTATAAGTTTCCTCACAGAGGAAAAAAAAAAACCCATGAAGGTGCTTGATTCAGTTTTTTTATACTCCCCGATATAATACTGTCCGGAATTGGACGAATGCCCCCAAAATACCTTTCTGGGAATATGTGCATTCCTTTGCTGGAAAGGAGAAGAAAAAAAAAATGCAAGCAACCCCTCGGGATCCTTTGGCAGAACCCAGAAGGGCCGAGTTGCTCCTACTGCATTCTTGTCTTCAGGACAAAATCTGTGTGATTCACAGGCAACGGGTGAGCTTCAGTGTTGAACACCCAGTCCTCGAGAGAGAGCACGTCATCTTCAGAGAACAGAAGATAGAGATACCTGGAGCCAGGAGAAGAGCAGAGAAAGCTTGCTAGGTGAGACTCTCGGATATCATTTGTTTATGGCCTATGCTACACTTGCTACCTTGGTTGATTTGAGGTTAGATCAGGACTGGGGAATGATGGCCCTTTTATGACGTGGACTTCAACTCCCAGAATTCCTGAGTCAATTCTGGGAGTTGAAGTCCACAAGTCCAGGGGTGGGATTCTACCAGTTCGTACCTATTCGCTAGAACCGGTTGTTAACATTCTAAGCAGTTTGGAGAACCGATTGTTAGAAGAAATTACTGGCCTAATCCTGTAAGGAAGGCAGGAAGGAAACAATCTGGTGTTGCTTTCAGAAATTGCCTCTCCATTAACCCTTATTACATTCTTGGCAGGACTAGACTTCCTGTCTCTGGTACTTCTCTGGAGTTTTTTTCCCCCTCCTTTGCTGGTACTTTGCTTGGGTGGAGTGACCATTCAAAGTTATAATGGCACTGAAAAAAGTGACTTATGACCATTTTTCACACTTACAACTGTTGCAGCATCCCCACAGTCATGAGAGACCAGGCGAGGAGATGCGTGCCTCGATGTGAGTGATATGGAGTTGGCCACACTCAGCCAATAATATGACCACCAAGCCACGCGCACCACCTAACTCACGCCCACAGAACCAGTTGTTAAAACAATTGAATCCCACCCCTGCACAAGTTATAAAAGGGTGTGATGACCCGAGGCGTGGCACAAAGGCAACACAGTCAGATAATCAATAAAAGTCCCTTTATTATCTCCAACTTTGCTCCCAATGTCCAGGTTACTTTCTGGCTGGAGAAAAACTCTCCCAGAAACAGCCTTTGACTGCAGAAAATTAAGTCCAAAACATGGTCAACACAAAGTGTAACTTAAAGTCCAAACAAACCAAACTGAAGTAATTAGTTTGGCAGGGCAGGAGCAAGAATTTCAGACTTGAAGGCACGGCAAAACTCACACGGTTGGGAAGATGCCAGGAACACAGATAAGCCATGACAACACAGGATAAAGTCACGTTTGCTCCTGCACGCAGCCTGCCTTTCTTATAAACTGTGTTCCCAGCTGTGGCTAATGAAGGGAATCGGGGCCCTCTCCTCCCCTGTAAGCCACGTAATTTCTTTATATATTTCTTTTTTCTTTGCTACATTATTTTTTTCGTTTCCTCTTTTCTGCACCATCTATTTTTCTTTTTTTCTTTTTAAGTTGCTATTAGTTTTTTTATTGTGGCAATTGTAAATTTTACTTACATTACTATATATAAAAAAGAGAATTCTGAAGTCAGGCTAACTTTTTGAGTTGGGTTCCAGCAAGACCAGTGGTATTTTGACCATTTGTCAGAACTTGGTCATGGGAATGCAACACTACCACCACAATAAGTGCATTTTCTTCTAAAGATGCCTTTACTGTGCTGTTCAGGGACCATGTATTCCCCCATGACTTGCTTCATGGAAAACACCCTCCTTCCTAAACTCCTTTTGATGGTCAAACATGGAAAATACTCAGGACTTACTTTAGTGTCTCTGCCAGAAAAAAGCTCTGCTGCATGTTGTCGTGGCTTGGGGTGGTTGTGTACACATCGCGGATTCCAGAGAAACCAGCTTCTACTCGGCAAAATTTCTCCAGTGCCTGATTTGGAAAGTAAGGAAGAGAAGAAAGTCAACTCAGTTCCAAAAATGGCAAAGCAGCACCCATTCATCATGGGTGGAAGGAGGCAGCGGTGGTGACCCTACTAGATAGTGACTCGCTGAGGTAGACACTTCTGAGAGGTTCTCCAGCAGGAATCAATGGTGGCTCTGCTTCAGCCTCAGGAGCCCTCAGATGTTGAAGGAGATTCTCAGTCATCTGGGTCATGGTTGTCCCAAAGATGCTTTTTCAAAAGGCAACTGGACTTTCTTCCCTCTTAAGGTCTTAAAATAAGATTGAACAACCCTCTCTCAAAAGAGATACAACATCACCTGTCTCCTGTTTACCACACAGTCCTTTCAACAGTTCCAAGAAGGTTCCACACCAATTTCCACTATTCAGGTGACTCTGAGAGCACAGATAAACTTCAAGGTGGCATCAATGACTCTCTAAAAGAATACAAATGACCAGATATCTGCAAGGAATATAAATCCTTTCATTCCTCACCTTGAAGAACCTTCTTGGATGAAAAGCAAAATGTCTTCAAGGACAAGCAAAAAAACCTCCAGTTGTCTTTTGAAAAGCAACTTTGGGAGCTCTCATGGCTGGACTTCCAGCTGGCCTTTCCTACCTCTCCTGTACTGGTCTAGATGGCCTGCATAGTCTTCCTCCACTTTGCATCTTCCTACGAGTGCTACGTGAGGCCAACTGGGTGGCCCAGTGTTGCCCAGCGACTGGAGCAGGTTCTCCTGGCCTGTTGTCCCACCCTAGCTTTACTTCCAAGGCAATTTGTTTCAGAAAGAGAAAGGAGAGCCTTCCTTCCATAAATTTCCCTGCAACAACCCTTAGTGTAGGGTAGGATAGGCTGAGGTTGAGATCAGGCCAAGTCAACCTTTGATGGCTAAAGGAAACTTTGCTTTGATTCCTTGCGAGGATGAGATGGCAGGCATTTCTTGTGTTTTGCTGAGGATCTTGGATAAGAACCTCAGGAAATCTTCCTGAAATTTTTCTGCAGTTATGGGTCCTCAAATCCTTATTTTATGTTACATGGGAGCCCATGAAGGATCATATACTTGGGTGCTACTGAAACCAAGGTCCTGTGCTAGGGAAGCTTTAGGTTAAATCCAGCAGGGCTTCTCTTAGATTCCATAAAGAGATCAGACATTGTGGCTGCCATGTGCCACAAACTGAAGGGTACCATTCAGGAATGCAGCACAAAAGATAGAATGCTTTGAGCCAGCAGTAGAAGTTTATTTATTCATTTGATTTTGGCTCCGAATGACTCTTCGCCTTTTTTTGTTCATCCCAAAACAGATTGTATAACGACTGAGTAAATTACTAAAACATAGATATCAGGGACAGATGAAGGCCAGTTAATGCCCTCAGTACTGCCTAACAACGGAGCCCCCTCAGCAGAAGTGAGATTCTCACAACTTGAGATGGAAGCAAATGTTATCTCTGACAACAACCTTCAAACCAAACCAACTTTTAGACTTTAGTCAAAAGGAACAGGCTTAGAACATTTTTTCTGACTTACTTGGACAGCTTCCCAACCCCACTCTCTGTACTTGGGGTCATGTGTCGACCTCCACAAGTAGAAGTAGCTCTCTACAACCTCGGGGCGCAGGATGTAATAACGATCACTGAGTCGTGTGGCCATCGCTTCCGCTCCAGAATCAAAACGAAATGCTTCAGGGCCCAGGTTGGTATCTAGCCACAAAACAAAAACAGAATGGTCAGAGGATGCTTTGATAGCTGCAGGGTCAACTAAAATTTGGGATGAATGTGTGAATTCACTAAACAAATAGTATATTCATGAATACTTTCACTGGGAAGTAGAAACATTTTTCAGATCTCTTGCAAGTGAAAAAAATGAATTGATCCTAAGCCTTAGGTGCCTGCTAAACTTCCATGATGAGGGCCTGACCTGGAGAAGCAAACACCATCACTATCAAGCCAAACTGAAAGAAGTAGACAGATCCTCAGTTTAGACATTAAAAGAGGAAAAAGATAACCAATCTAGATGTGATTGAATCTCCACGTGATGTTTAAAAGGGGTCTGGGTTAGAGTCCTTGCACTGCAGAAAGTGGCACAGCCCTGGAGCCTGATCTGACCCTTCCCAAGCGAATGCAGTCAGTCTGGAAGATTCTTGTAAGATGGGTGACTGACAATGAAGCTTCTGCTTGAGACTATTCATCAGTGGTCCTTGTTGTTTGCACATGACACTAGATCAAATGCAGTCCTTTTGTCAAGACTGACAATTGACACCTTTCCACTGGAGGTACTTTCCAGCTCTGGCAGAATATGGAGACTAGCAAATAATGGGTTATAATACAATGGTGCATTTTGTGACTTCAGCTGGGCAACTGGAAGTAGGTTGCCAATAGCAGTAGTTGAGGATGAAGTGAGGATTGGGCTTCTCTAGTGGATGTTACCCGTGTACAATATTAACTGGTGAACAAGAGTGTACAGAACCTTTTCTCAAAAACAGGCTTGGGTTTTCGGATTTTTACCTGAGCGAATGTAAGATTCGTGACAAGTGTGTGTTATTTCCCCAGCTAGATCCAAATAGTGCTGTTTCTGTTCTTCCAGGGCGTGTTCCGCTCCAAGGGCTATCATACCACCAGAAAAGCAAGCCAAGTGCCCCATTTTATGATCCAAGATGCCTCCTCGCCATTCGGCAATATAGGTTAGCCCACCAGGCGATTTTTTGACAAGGTGCTTTTCTATGGCCTAAATTTCACAGCATTTGGAAAAGAGAGAAAGTGAGTTATTTGTGTGGAATGAAGAAAAATGAAGCAGGTTTATAAATAAAATAAAGAATACACTGGTAGCAGTATCAAAAACTATGTATGCAATATATGAAAGGAGATGGCCACTGTAGTGGTCATCTAGTCTGCTTCAAAAAGCTTTATATCTCAACACCAACACCATAAATTGTATCCAGAAACCAATCAACAACTACTATAGGGTGTGAAGAATCATTGTTATATAGTTCCAGAAGCAAGAAACAGGGAATACGCAGGTGGCCTTATAGTGGTTTAGTTTTTAAGTACAGGTTAGTGTTCACTTAACACCCACAATTGTGACTGGAAACTCTGTTATGTATCATGCCATATCATGTCATGTGATTGTGCCACTACGGGACAACAGTTCCACCAATCCTTAATGCTATCATTAAGTGAGGCTGTATGGCTGTTACACAAAGCTCTTGTGTGACTGTAATTTGCTACTTCCTGCTGGTTTCCTAAACTAATATAAATTTAAGGAAAAAAGAAAGCAAAGAGAAAGCAAAAAGAGCAAGGAAAGAAAGCTTGAGGAAAAATAGAAAAGGAAGAATAAAGATACAAAGAAGTGGCTTTTGATATTCTTCACAATAGTGGAGAGTATAATGATATTTTAACTTTTCCCGCTAAAGTTACTGCTTCCAAGATTTTCAAGAGCTGCAGGCTTTTTTGTCACAGCTGGGGTCCAGCTCCACAATTTGCGGTGCAGATGTTCAATTCATCAGGCCAAAGTTAGGAGGGACGGCATTTATTTATTTTTTATTTATTTATTTATTTGATTTGCCAATTGTTTACAAGATAATAAGTATAAGTGTATACATAGTTGTGAATACATGAAATGGGTACATATAAGAAAAATAAAAGAAGAATAAGAGAAACAATAGGACAGGGACGGTAGGCACGTTGGTGCGCTTATGCACGCCCCCTACAGACCTCTTAGGAAAGGGGTGAGGTCAATAGTAGACAGTCTAAGGTTAAAGTTTTTGGGGTTTGGGGAAGAAACTACAGAGTCGGGTAGAGTATTCCAGACATTGACCACTCTATTGCTGAAGTCGTATTTCCTGCAATCAAGTTTGGTGCGGTTAACTTTGAGTTTGTATCTATTGTGTGCTCTTGTGTTGTTATGGTTGAAGCTGAAGTATTCATTGACAGGTAGGACATTGCAATGTATGATTTTATATACCATGCTTAAATCAGACCGAAGACGGCGTAATTCAAGGTTTTCTAGTTCTAGAATTTCAAGTCTGGTGGCATAAGGTATTCTACAACGAGTAGAGGAGTGGAGAACTCTTCTTGTGAAATATTTCTGGACTTTCTCAATTGTGCTAATATCAGATACGTAATGTGGGTTCCAGACTGATGAACTGTATTCGAGTATTGGTCTAGCAAATGTTTTGTATGCTCTGGTTAGTAGTGTGATATTACCAGAGAAAAAGCTACGTAGGATTAGGTTAACAACTCTTAATGCCTTTTTGGCTATGTAGTTGCAGTTAGATCATTAGAGGTGAGTATTCCAAGGTCCTTTACAGAGCTTGGGTCATCAACAAGATCTTGACTATTCAGCTTGTATTTTATTTTCTGATTTTTTTTGCCAATATGTAAGACAGAGCATTTATTTGTTGAGATTTGAAGTTGCCATTTGTTTGACCATTCTGATACATAGTCAAGATCTTTTTGTAGGGTAGCAGCTTTACATCATCAGCGAAAAGAACGCAATTGCTCTTAATATGATCACAGAGGTCATTTATGTAGAGTATGAAGAGAGTTGGTCCTAGAACACTGCCTTGGGGGACACCACTATTGACAGGTACAGAATTTGATAGGACGCTCCCAATTTTGACCATTTGTTGTCTGTTTGCCAGGAATGCTTCTATCCAGTTCTTCAGTTGTCCAGAGATACCATAGGATTTTATTTTTAGGAGTAGTTTGTCGTGTACCACTGAATCAAAGGCTTTACAGAAGTCTATGTAGATTGCGTCTATTGCTTTGCTCTGGTCGAGTTGTGTCATCCATATGTTTTTGCAGTGTAAGAGTTGCAGATTACAGGATAGTTTTTTTCTGAAACCAAATTGTTTATTGGAGAGTAGGTTGTTTGTCTCTAAGTGGAGGATGATGGATTGGTTAATAATTGATTCCATGACTTTACAGGTGACGCAGCATAAGGAGATTGGTCTGTAATTTTCAACTAGGCTTGGGTCTCCCTTTTTGAAGATGGGGATGACTGTGGCTTGTGACCATAGGTTAGGCAAGGAGCTGGTCCTGAAAGATTTTTCAAAGATTATGCTTAGAGGTTTGGCTATGGCAGTGGATAGCTTTTTTAAGAAGTAGGCACATATTCCGTCCGGTCCAATAGATAGAGATGGTTTTAGATTGCGTAGTGCTTTTTCAATTTATCCTCGCTGCATTTATCCTTTTCTATTGAAGTGAACATGTTTACTTGTTGAGCCATTCATCTTTAATTTTATCAGATGAATCAACCCTTAAGGTGTCCATGAACAAGAGATGACGCAGATTACATAATTGCCTCATTTGTGTGATGAGATCATTATGCATTGAGGCATCCCTCCTCTCATCCTGCAAATGTCCATGATTCAACGGAACTGAACCACACAACCAGGCTAAAAAAAAACCATTAGAAATGCAGAATTCCTTCAGGGATAGGTACCTCTGTGTTGGCAATATTACATCCTCTAGCCCCGAATACAGTTCACTTGGGCTTTTCTCCAGTTTCAAAATAGACTGCTCAGAAAGTTATAGAAGTACAGTACACCAGCACCATTCTCATTGCTCTTAAAACCGGTGGCTAGTTTGGAGAACACATTCAATTATCTTTTATGACAATGGGGATAGCAACATAAGATCCTCTGACTTGCCTATGGTCTTATCCAGCATAGCCATAAAGAAGTTTGGAACTGTTAAGCCTTTTGGCTTGCTTGGGCCACGTTGAGTAAAGAAGAATTATCTTAGGAAGCATATAAAATACAGATAATATAATTAATGTATACAAATAATATAATAATGTTAAAAGTTTATGATCTTGTGTTGCCACATTACTAGATGTGCAGGGCCACATAAGGCTCATGGGCCACAGGCTGGACACACCTTGTTTAAGCCTAGTGTTGTTCATCAGTGTAAACAACTTCTCTAACTGAATTCCAAACATCCTGTGCACAGCATCCTAGCAGAAGTTGGAACTCAAAATATCTCTGTGTTTTTCTTTTTCAGCCAAAAAAGCCTCTGTACAAAAATGCTTGAAATGCTTCATGCCCATGAAACAGGCTGTTTCACCAAGGAAGCAAAAGGGTTCCAGAGTTGACGAAGCAGTTTGAAATGGTTTTGATTCTGCAATGACTGCAATTTGCCATGTTTCCTGAAGCCAACGAGACATTCTTAACATTAATTATGAAACAAACTCTTTAAAATTTCACGTGTTGTGGAGTTTGCTAGTATCAACAGACAAATAAATATAATAACTGGCTAAGTATCTCAGCTGCTGTGTATATTTATTTTGTTTTTTATTGTTTTAATTGTTGTTATACTTTTGGAACTGTAAGACGTTCAGAGTCATTGATTGAGATGGATGGCTACAGAAACTGAATGAACAAACAAACAAATCATGGTTAAAACTAACTACTGTTTAGGATTTGGACTCAATGACGAACGGTGGCAGATAATGAAAACCGGAACCACAAGCTTTTAATTTTCTTCTGATGCCTGTGTAGAGGTGGAAAACCTGGAATGAGAATCCCATTTGGAAAACACCCTGTTTCTGAATCATGATGCCCCAACCCTACTTAATGTTGGAAGGATGGCTGGATGGACTAAGTCTGCCTGGTGATTCTATGCTAAGGTAAGATCTGAATCTTGGCCATCCATCTCCATCGGGGTGGGTTTCAAAAAAAAAAAAAGTATTACTGGTTCGGAGAGCATGCTTCACGCTCTGAGCTAATTCTGTTGTTTATTAGCTTGAGCTAATAAACAACAGAATATAGGAGAGGTAAGAGCGGAGGCAGGTGGGCAGGGCCAGCCAGAGGTGGTATTTGACGGTTCTCCAAACCAGTCAAAATTTTTGCTACCAGTCCATCAGAACCAGTCCAAACTGGCTGAATACCACCTCTGATCTCCATTCTCTGTGGGGTTTCTCATAAAGTACTTGCTGCTAATCAAGTGCAAAAGGAATAATGCTTCATTCTCCGCCTTACCTCCAGAGCTTTATCATACATGTTTTTTGCTTCGCTATCTTGCTTATCTGACATGAGCCAAGATTTGATGAGATATTCATAAAAACTGTCCCCAAGGCCACCGACAGAGACGTGATCTACAGCGATAGAAAGAAGAAGACAACTTGTGATTAGAAAAGTCAAACAACTGCATAGAAGTTACTTTGGTTGAATGATGTCTTATACATTTTATTTTAACCAAATGGAGAATGTCCTATCTATTAAGAAACAGGCACATACAATTTGGAAATTAGCCTGCTTCTTTTGTATTTTAATGCCCAAATTCCTTCAAAGGGGTCAAGGGAAGAGAGAGACCACAAAATAATAACACCCCCCCCACCCCGATTATTAGTCCAATATCCAGATCCCTCTAGTGTCTTCTCAAAGGAGTCAACACTGAAGAACTTTGCTCTATCTTTGTCTAGCAACTTCACTTGAGCTGAGTAAAAAAGCAAATGACCAATTAAGATCTGGACCCAGATCATCTACTACAAGGTACATTGTACTGTTAACTGTGGGAATACTAAAATTTGGCACTGAAGATATATCTATAAAGTACTATAATACACTTTTTTCTACAGTTTGAGAATTCTTTGATTCCTTTGGGTTCTTAAAATCACCTTAAGGGCTAGAAACTTGGTTTATAAATAAACAAAGAAACAAAGTTGTTCTAGAAGCTGGGCTTTGTTCCAGATACATTTTGCACTCCCTTTGAACGGAAATAAATATGCAGACTTATCCATTATTGTCTTTCTCTGTCAGCCACTTCCTCCCTTGTGAAGAGAAAGGGAAGAGAATCTTAGAGTCAAGTGTCAAAACAGCACAAAATACTGAGGGGACACGACTGTATTGCAAGGTCAGAAATTTGCAAGCCAAAAATCTCAGCCACGCTGTGGAGATTGAACTTGCAGCGTATAGAGAGTTTCACTGGCATTTTGTAGTTGTGATTTGATGCCCGGAATGAATATTAAGAGACATTTGAAGGAGCAGGTTGAAGGAGGGGAGGAAGAGAAAACACCGTGGTGTCAGGTGTGAAGATGGCTCCAGAATACTGAGGGCTTTTCCATGGCTACCTCTTCAGACTGCCCTGCTCCAGAACCTGTTAGGGGAAATCTGCCTGGGGCAAAAAACTGAACAGATTTATCATGGGAATAGCATGCTGGGGTGGGGGAGAGGATTTTATTTTTACATCTCAGCATCAATGCTCCAGGGTATCCAAGGGCATGCGGGTCATCTTCCCACCTACCCCACCCCTCAAAAGCAAAGTGATGAGAGGGCAAGAGAAGGAATAAGCACCAGTGAAATTTATTTTCTATGCCACCTAACCTAGGATGCAAATGTATACGCCCCCTCATCTACGGTTACCCTGTGGGATTTCCATCTGAAACAGAGGTTAATTTATAGCATGTTTTCAGATTAGCGGGTTTCTTTGTGATTGATTTGTGTGAGCCTGTAATGCAGGGTTTCTCAATCTTGGCAACTTTTAAAGTGTGTGGACTTCAGCTCCCAGAATTCCTCAGCCAGCCATGCTGGCTGGGGAATTCTGGAAGTCCATAAGTGTTAAAGTCACCAAGGTTGAGCCTGACTGGATTGCATATTGCAAATACAGTGGTACCTTGGTAGTCAACTGCTTTGAAACTCATCAAATTTGGTACTCAACGCATTTTGACATGAATATTTTGTCCTGGGTACTCTTCGCTTGTTTGGTTCTCAATGACAAGCTAGAATTTGTCAGTGTTGGCTGCCTTGTGACTCACTTACATTATTCCTTATGGGAAAAAAAGTTTGATACTCATTGTGCTTCCTGCAATCAATTAATGATGAGTACAGAGGTGCCACTGTATAGTATATTTTAGGATGGCTTAACAGAAAGCTCTGAGTGAAACTGGATATGCCCAATCCTATGGCCAAGGAAAGTAATCCCTGCCCATTTTTCCTTAATGCACTTGAGTGCATGCGGTGGCTCAGTGGCTAAGATGCTGAGCTTGTTGATCAGAAAGGTTGGCCGTTCGACGGTTCGAATCCCTAGCGCCGTGTAATGGAGTGAGCTCCCGTTACTTGTCCCAGCTTCTGCCAACCTAGCAGTTCGAAAGCATGTTAAAAAAAAATTCAACTAGAAAAATAGGGACCACTTTGGTGGGAAAGGAACAGCGTTTTGTTGCGCTTTTGGCGTTTAGTCATGCCGGCCACATGACCACGGAGATGTCTTCAGACAGCCTCTTTGGCTTTGTAAAGGAGATGAGCACTGCCCCCTACAGCCAGAAACGACTAGCACATATGTCCGAGGGGAAACTTCAGTCTATTCCAAATTTGATTATCTCCAGCACGGGGAATTACTAAGCAAGCTATTTGGAGCAATTGGAAAAGCACTCTTATTCTGGACATTAACTATTGGATACAAAGCATGTGTAATTTATTCACTTTTGCAAATACTTCCCCCCCCCACACTAATTATCAAAAATGATGCCATATGTCTCTCTTTGGCACAGATTCATGATGTTTTTGAGAAAAGAGTATCCCCCCACCCCCGAATGTCCTTACATTGTTTAATTCTTGATATGCAACCGGCATGCCTAAATGGTTCATAATTTTTCCTTCAGTTGGGTTTTGCTCATTATGGCTTTTTGTTTTTCTTTTGCATTTGTTTACTGTTTGCTTCTGTATTTTGTTTTTGTAGTTCCTGTGTAGCATTTTGGTGTATTTTTTAAAAACAATTTGTAATAAAATAAATTTTAACAAATAAATAATAATTGTCCTGTCTCCCTTAAATCTTCTTTCCGCCAGACTGAACCTGCCAAAGTTCTTTCAGTCTGTCCTCATAGGATACACCCTTGTGTTCTTCTACCACCTTTATTCTCCCTCCTCTGAATTCTGAAAAGCTTGAACTCTCTTGAGAACGTGGCTGAAATCTCTATGCAAAGGCTATTCATGACCCCTATATTATTTCAAGTGTAAGAGGAAGCACGTTTTTTCAATCTTTTAATCTCGCAGAGTTTCCAGAAATCAAGTTGGATGCCAAACAAGCTGAATCTCCCCCCGCCCCCCAAAAAAGCCTGTGCATCTCCTTATGCTCTATTGTAGTGTTTCTCAACCATGGCAGCTTGAAGATGAATGGACTTCAACTCCCAGAATTCTGCAGGTTGAAGTCCTTCCATCTTCACACTGCCAAGGTTGAGAAACACTGCTCTATTGTTTTCCTTTGGTGCTTTCAAGTGTAAAACTGTGCTAGGTCTCACACTCCAGCGTGTCATTTTCTTTTCTCCTATACGAATTCGCCTACCCTCCTGGTTGGTCTTTTGTGGTTTTCTGTATTAAGAGCAGGGGTGGGATTCAAAAACCCCAACAACTGGTTCTCTGCCCGGTTGCTGGGTGGGCTTGGCCAAGATGAGCGTGGCCTACTGGAACTTCCGAGAGGGCCATTTTTTTGCCTTCCCCAGAGTCCGGAGGCTTCCCTCGGGCCTCTGGGAGGGCAAAAACAGCCTCCTCCAGACTCCGGAGACTCTCCGGAAGCGGGAAACAGGCCCATTTCTGGACTTCCGGTACTTCTGGTAGGGCCGTTTTCCCCCCTCCCAGAGCCTCCGCACAGCCCCTACACCTACCTACATCCAAAACAGGCCACATGGAGACTCCTGGGAGAGGCGGGGTGGGCAGGGCCAGCCAGCCGGTTCAACTACCGGTTCGGCGAATCAGATTTAATTTTTTTTTAAATGCATTTATTTATTTTATTTATTTATTTATTTTTATTTGTCAATTGCTTACAAGATAATAGGTATAAGTAAAAACATAATTATGAATACATGGATACATATAAGAAAAATGAAAAAAATATAAAAGAAACAATAGGACAGGGACGGTAGGCACGTTGGTGCGCTTATGCACGCCCCCTACAGACCTCTTAGGAAAGGGGTGAGATCAATAGTAGACAGTCTAAGGTTAAAGTTTTTGGGGTTTGGGGAAGAAACCATAGAGTCGGGTAGAGTATTCCAGACATTGACCACTCTGTTGCTGAAGTCGTATTTCCTGCAATCAAGTTTGGTACGATTAACCTTGAGTTTGTATCTATTGTTTGCTCTTATGTTGTTATGGTTGAAGCTGAAGTATTCATTTGCAGGTAGGACATTGCAATGTATGATTTTATATACTATACTTAGATCGGACTTAAGGCGGCGTAGTTCTAGGTTTTCTAGGTCTAGAATTTCAAGTCTGGTGGCATAAGGTATTCTGCAATGAGTAGAGGAGTGGAGAACTCTTCTTGTGAAATATTTCTGGACTTTCTCAACTGTATGTAATGTGGGTTCCAGACTGATAAGCTGTATTCGAGTATTGGTCTAGCAAATGTTTTGTATGCTCTAGTTAGTAGTGTAATATTACCAGAGAAAAACATCCAGTTCACCCGAACTGGCTGAATCCCACCCCTGATTAAGAGACACCTGGCAAAAAAGACGGCAGGGATGGCTGCCTCACACCTGTTCAAAGGACTTGGTTTGAGACAGCTCGCATGAGGAGTGACTCAGTTTGCATTAACGAAGAACAGAATTTGGTGGCAAATCTTTCCCTTATTCAGGAGTCACACTAGAAGTCTGATGTGCATTGATAAAACATCCCTTTGGTTTAGCCAAAGGAGTCTGAATACTCACGCTGTACCCAGTTCCCTGTGACCGGACTGAGAAAATTCGGATAAAGCCCGTGAGGTTTCTCAATTCTATTCAGGACTTTGCGGATGTTCATCACCTACAAGGAGATTAAAAAAAAAAAAAAGTTATTATGAACTCTTTGCTATTTTTAATAAACTGATTTTATTAATAATGAAGCCACCCATCAAATACAGGGAGTCCTCAACTTTTCATTTAGTGACTGTTCAAAGTTACAAGAGCACTGAAAAAGTGACTTATGACTGTTTTTCACACTTACGGCCATCGCAGCATCCCCATGGTCACCTGATCAAAATCCAGATGCTTGGCAACTGACTCGTATTTATGACCGTTGCAATGTCCCAGAGGACATGTGATCTCCTTTTGCGACCTTTTGACAAGCAAAGTCAATGGGGAAGCCAGATTCACTTAACAACCAGGTTACTCAGTTAACAAATGCAATGATCCACTTAACCACTCTGGCAAGAAAAGTCATAAAATGGGGCAAACTCTCTTTAAAAATGTTTCACTTACCAACATAAATGTGCACAAATCCATTGTGGTCGTAACTCGAGGACTACCTGTACTGATGATAACTGGAGGTTGTTGAGTGAGTCACACCTAATTTTACAATCTGTTTTGCCATGGTTGTTAAGCAAATCACTGCAGTCGTTAAATGAATCATGCGGTCATTAAATGAATCCAGCTTCCCCCACTGATTTTGCTTGTTGGAAGCGGGCTAAGATGGTTGCAAATGGCGATCATTTGTCCCTGGAACATTTCAACTGCCATAAATACATGCCGGTTGCCAAGCCCCCAAATTTTGATCATGTGACCATGGGGTTACCGTGACGGGCATAAGTAGGAGGACCAGTAAATAAATAAATTTATAAACAAAACACTTTTTTCAGTGCTGCTGAAACTGAATGAACAGTCACTAAATGAATAGTTGCAAATCAAGGACTACTGTATTAGGTTATGTCTCTGGGGTCAACTATGGAGAGATTTCAGGCTGATAAAAGGAAAGGCGTCCTAACACAATACAAATAGTCCTTGACTTACGACTACAATTGATCCGCAAAATTTCTGTTGCTAAATGAGACATTTGTTCAGTGAGTTTTGCCCCATTTTACAGCCTTTCTTGCCATAAGCTGTTAAGTGAATTCGGAATAATGTCAGATTTCCAAGTGATTAAACCCATTCAAAAAGAGAAGAACAAAGTCCATCTTCCAAGACAATTTCTTTTATTTAGGAAAGCATCAAATTGGCAAAGTCCGTGGAAATTCCGGATCTGACACAACCCAGAATTACCCTACAATATTAGAAGTTAGAAACAACCCCCCAAAGTCACATTCTCCAATAGAAGTAATTCAACGTTGCTTGATGTCATAAATCTCCAACTCGGGGCCTAAGCAGGGACAGCTTGTTTTCCCACGGGAAGAAGAACCACCTAGCCTCAACAACTCTATCTCCACTACCTCCTGTTAGGAATGTGGCAAGGCCGAAACCTTTCTCCCCCACGACTGCCACAGTGAAAGTAAGAAAAAGAATATATACTAAGCCTGACTAAAATGGCTACCCATAGGTCAATTTCAGCCTTAACACACTGAAGTTGGGACTCTGGCCTCCCCATTGATTTCGCTTGTGAGAAGGTTGCAGAAGGGGATCGCATGACCCCGGGACCGTCATAAATACGAAACAGTTGCTAAGCGTCTGGATTTTGCTCACATGCCCATGGGGATGCTGCGGTGGTAATAAGTGTGAGGAATGGTCATAAGTCACTTTTTTCAGGGCCATTGTAACTTTGAACGGTCACGAAATGAAAAGTCAAGGACAAACTCAACACCATCAGACATGGTGGTGATGACCACTGATTTTGCCAGTTTTAAAGGAGGCCGGACAAAGTCATGGTAATTTAGCCAACTGCATTGCTCACAACACAGCGGGACCCGATGGCAGAGGCCATTTTTTGTTGGTTTGCATCCAGTGCCTCTTTATTCAGGGGTATGTATCGCCCTGAAACACAGAGTTTTCATTTAGCTGTTATCGCTGCTAGGCCCACCCTCACAAATGCCATCTGTGGCAGCAGATCCCTAAACAGCTGCTTCTCCAAGCAGCCCTTCCAAATCAGCCAAAAACACCACAGGATTCCCAAGCCAAAGAGAACTGCAAGAAACTGTGCCAAGAGGCAGACTCTGAAATGTCCACTGTTGCCAAGCAACCGCATCCAACACATACACATTTTTGCCATTTCCCCCTTGGCTGTGGACCTTCTAGTGGTTGAGGAACCTCAGAAGGGGCACATAAGGCAATGGCACCAGAGCAGTTTCCCACGCTAAACTGCAATGGAATGCAAGCTGGCTGGTTGTTTTCAGATCCCATTAGAGGATACATTACATTTATTTTGTTTATATCCTGCCTTTTTTATTTTTACAAATAACTGAAGATGGTGAACATATCCAATACATCGTCCTCCTATTTTCCTCACAACAACCACAACAACCCTGTGAGGTGAGTTGGGCTGAGAGGGAGTGACTGGCTCAGTCACTCAGCTGGTTTTCATGACAAGGTGGGACTTGAACAGTCTCCTACTTTCTAACTTGGTGCCTTAACCACTAGACCAGGGGTGTCAAACTCAAGGGCCAGGGGCCAGGTCCAGACCGTGGGGTGTTTAGATCTGGCCCCCGGAACCCCCCAGGAAACAGTGACCCCCACACAGTGCCTCTGCCAGCAAAAATGGAGCTCGGGAGGGCCTCCATTTTCTCTGACAGAGGGTTGCAGGAGGCCGTCGCAGCTGAAAACAGAGTTTGGAGAGCACTCGGGCCACCACAGGCATCCCCGACACAAGTGATGTTGACCTGGCCATGCCCACCCCAGTCCCCTGAGGTCAACTATAACCCTGATGCGGCCCTCAATAAAATCGACTTCGACACCACTGCACTAACCAATCCAGCTCTGTAAGGGTACCATAACACCTAAGAGGACACGTGCTAAAAGAAAATAGTCAGGCCATTGATTTGCGTTCAATCTCATCAGTTTCAAAGAAACCTTCATTTTATAGGCAGTGTTTCTAATCAAGCTACAATGTGTATTTGTTATGACATCCAGCTAGGCCTGCTGCAAACTCGATGTGTTCAGTAATGACTCGCTTTTCTTGGCCATACTGTACTGTGTTAACACCCACTGTGATTTAAGTGCTAAGGTCTGGAATCCCTTGCTTAGAACCCACAGGTTGGGATGGATCCTGTTTCAACCTTGTGGCTTTGTTTGGCTAACAGGAGTGAAGGCAAGCTAGCCTCAGGCTCAGGATTGCAAACTTGACATTTAACCCAACAAAGATCGAGTGTTGGTGTGCTCCATTCTTTCATCAATTGTCAAGTTGGCTCCCACTGCACATTAGGGAGTGCAGCGCTCTCCCGCTGCAGACCCTGGCATTTCAAGAGCGAGTCTGAACATGCATGTAGATTAGCAATGAGCTATTTTGTTTTGGGTTGGTTTTTTTTAAGAGAAAAAAAAAGCCCACAGATCTCTAGCTGGGAGCTAATGAACTGATAAGCTTTCCACCAAGCCCATTTCCCTCCAGATGGCTGTTTACAATCGGCACCCCTTGTGCATGCTCTCATACAGCTTTAGCTTTAATCGACAGCATGCTCTGGGTGGGCGAAGCCATTAACAAGCCGTTTTTTGCATTGACAGAGGGACTTAGGTGAGTAGGCTGTTCAACTGACCTCTTGGAACATCACTGAACAAGAATCATCCTCTCTCCTGCATTAAGGGATATGTTAGGATGAGGCACTTTGCGTTAATCCTAACTTCAACAAAGGCTTTCCATTAAGGTTGCATATTCATAATCTCCATCCCTGTGGTGCATCTTTTCCTTGTTTACAACTTCAACTTTGCCTTTCCCCCTCTATCTAAGCTCCTATATATTTCCTCTCTTCTCCAGCACATCTTCTGTGCCGGTCCTTTCTCTCATTCTATGCTTCATTTATATCTCATTTCTCCATTTGGTTTCCAGCTTTTCTAGTATTTTCCCTCCACGCCTATCTCCCCGCCACTCAAATTTCCTTTTGCATCCTAGCCAGCCCTTTCCCACTTAGCAAGCAGGCAGATGGATGCCTTTTTAAAGTTGGGTTATGAGCTGTTCTCCAGTCACATCTAAGAATAGTTCAGAAGCGCAGAACTGCTGGAGTCTTGGGGTCTCAGGGACAACCTCTTAGGATGCCAGTTCTAATCCTAACAGGAAGGCTTAGAAAAGAATAGAGTAATAAAGCTGTAAAGGACCTTGGAGGTCTTCTACTCCAACCCTCTGCTTGAGTAGAAGACCCTATACCATTGAGACAAATGGCTGTCCAATCTCTTCTTAAAAGCCTCCAGTGTTGAAGCCCTCTACAACAGTGATCCCCAACCTTTTTGACGCCGCGGCCCGGTACCGGCATCAGCTGGGCGCCGCCATCTTTTTTTGATGAAAAAGTGCTTCCGGTGAGCTTTCTACCCGGAAAAGCTCACCGGAAGCACTTTTTCATGAAAAAAAGATGGCGGCGCCCAGCAAGCCGCGGCCCGGTAGGAGTTGTTCCGTGGACCGGTACCGGTCCGCGGACCGGTGGTTGGGGACCCCTGCTCTACAACTTCTTCTTTTTTTCCAATAAAGTTTTATTTGGGTTTTCACACACAAAATACAAGTAAAACATCTTTTTTGAAAATAGCATGGTCCCGGGTTGAGCTTCTTTATACAGACACAAAACTCAATTTCATGCTCCTATTTGTATTCTATTCCATATCTTATACTATTTTACATTTTCTATATAGTTTTTCCCCTCTTTTAATTTTCTCAATTTTATTTTGATGATCTCATCTCAATTCAAATCATTATATTTATACTTTTGCCTGTTCTGTTTCAATTTCATATTATCTTTTCTCATTAAACAAATTTTCTCCTGTAGTTACTAACTGGAGTATGGCACTTTTATATCTTTTAATTACATCCATTCAACTCTTATTTAAACTTCAATATATACCTTAAGTTTATGACCTTCAATATAATACATAATACATAACTTCCAATCGAATTCTGCTTGGCACATTCTTATAATACACAGT